TGGTCGTCTAGGGCTGGTTTCTAATCCCAGCGACACTGCTGAGAGTGGAGACGACACTAAGCAACGTTGAAGAGGGCTAAGTTAACATAACTTCTCAGTAACACACATCTAACAAAGCCATTTCCACTGCAAAGCCAGTGCTCACCCCGAAACAACGTACATACAGTGACATGAACTGGTCTCATACTCAGTGATGAAACAAGGCAGACCATCCCACCATCATTCATATCACAAAGTAAACGACTTTAAACCATTAATATAATTAAAGCACAATACAGCTTGATTAGGTACGATACATCGCAAAGTGCTGAGGTGGTAGCATGAACGTGAGAAACCAGACACTGAACTATAAATTAAAATCCATACTGTAGATATCTGTGGCAGGACCAATAACCCCTTGCATCAACCATAAATCTGGCTTTAGTGGTAATGGGGAACTGGGCTTTTCAAACTGGGAGCCTCAAAAAGTACCACAGAGTTGAGTCAACACACAAACAACTTAAGGATAGTTTCAAATGAAGACAAAATATTTTAGTTTGTAGTAAGTAGGTAGAAAGGTAGTATTTATGGCAGCAGTATTGTATTGCAGTACAACATATAGATGTTTATATTTTTCTGGTCATTCTGTGTATATATCTTTGATCCACGTGCCTTAAATTGCATTGGCATCTAGAAAAAGAAAGAAAGTGTGTTGGACAGGTTTCAATTGTGCTACAGTGGGTTAGACAGTCCAAGACCTCGGAAAACTGCAATTCAGAAGGCCCCAAGCCTTAAAAATCACTCAAGGATGTCAATTGGAAATCTGTAACCTATGGCTGTAATGGGTCCATTTTAAGTGTATTGTGAACAAATATGAAACATCCCCCATCCCCAATATGAGCATCATTGTGTACATGTGTATTGATGTGGTCACTTCACATAAAAAAGAGCAGTCCTGTGTCTGTTTGTGTCAGCTGACCTGGATCTAATTATACTACTAATACTCTCAGGCAGATATCTGCCAGTCAAAAACAAAAGTTGCCTTCAGAGATGTAAAGCAAAAGAAAAAAGAATTCACGTGTGTGCCGCAATGTGTATCAAATTAATGAATTAGACTGCCTTACAGCCAGCTGTTACACTGTTTTTTGGATTGGAAGCAATTCTCTCACTCTTGAAGCATGATTCTTCTTTGTGTGATGGCAGGTCTTCCTTTGACCAGACAAAGAGATTAGGGAAGGTATAAAGCGACTGTCATTTGCCATCACCCCTGCGCTCTTCATGCTGTGACCAAGTGGCCCGCGGGAGGGGGGTTGGGGGGCTGGGGAGCAACCACTTAAAGCCAGTCCATGAGTCTCCTGGCATCTCGTTGCATGTCTGCTGACCTTTCCTAGTTTTTTGTTTTTCTTCGGACGGTCAGCACCCAACCTGAAAAGAGGGAAGATGTTGTTACCACATCTTGCTCACAAAGCTAATGGGTTAGTGGGGCTTCTTCAGATTCAAAGAAAGAGGAAAAAAAAAAGGTTAAATGGAAAAAAAATCCATATTGCTTACTTGGGGAAACAATCTATAAGTAAGACGTTTGCTGTAGTAGAATCAAGGTTAACAAACTCCTTTCTAATGGTCCATGGACCTGAATGTTTGATCTGAATGCATTGGGAGGGTTTTCTCACAATCAATAAATCCTCCTATACTCCTACTCTGTAGGGGGGAATCAGAGGGATTGGAGGGGGGTTGTTTTTTTAATAAGACCTTTGAGGTACATGCAAATAGACGGCTTCCTACAGACATCATCTCCTGTCACAAGAGATGACCCACAGTAAAAGTGATTCAGGAAATAGCTGGCGAGATATTAGTAGAGAGCTAACGAGACCACGCAGCTTAATTAAGGGCATCATTAATGAGTAAGTGATTTGATAAGGGTTTTGGGGGGTTGCAGGAAGGTTATTGTTCCTACAGAAACACAAGGGAAATCACCCGAGGATGGGAAGTGACCCACATTTGGGAAGAGGAAAGATGGGGGGGCAACCCCCATTCCCCTAACAGGCATCCCCACATCCCCCCCTGGGCGGCCCGATGATTGGTTCATTACCCGTAGTAAACACGTCCACTACCCCCCACCCTGGTACACACAAATACATACATGCCCTACCCCCCTCCAATGATCATCCTGCCCCAGTGAAGACCAATGGCCAGATTCCTTCAGTGCCCGGATCATGCATTACTCCACTCTCTCTCCATCTGCTGGAATTCAGAGTGCAGGATGGAAAAAATATTCTTTTGTTTGACGTAAAGTTTACAAAATCGGGGAAAAACATATTTCTATGGACAAGGTATCAATTTAAACAAAATTTTACAGATTGATTATTCATTAATTGTCCAATAATATCATCAGTTTACATAGGGAAACTAATATTACTGCAAATTCCATCCTCAAAATACACTACTTAACATGCAACTGCATAACTGAACATCCATGCTTTGTATCTTACTCTACCATTTGGCCTGCAACTGAGAGCCCTTCAAATACCCAATTACACAAAGTAACCAATTAATTAAGATGTAGACTTGGATGTGAACTTAATTTAGCAATGTCATGAGTCTTATGTTGGGATTTCTATACATTAAACACATGTACTGTATGTAAATACAGAATATTAACTGAAGGTATGTTCTTTTATATTGTATATTTATACACTACATCTATATATATGACATTAGTCATTGTCTGTGTTGTCTAAAAAAAAAGAGGGTGCATCAGATAATAAGAAGTGTTGAAGATCCTCGGGCCAGTGTGTTAACTGATCTTGGATATTTTCCTGCCTCCTCTTAGCAGAAAGGTGTACTTTATACCTGCAGGCCATTCAACACCCCACACCAAGGTGGTCTACTTTCACTTCAGATCAACACCAGGAGCTGTATTCATTTGACACTTATGCAGAGGTGGGAGTTGTACTGTTAAAACACATGTATTTCAAGTTGTTCTTTGGGGCTGCATTCTGCCATCTCTAAATGGAGAGACCCCCTTGATGTGCTACGCTTTCATTTACCCCCCTCCAGGGGATCTGGATGAACACTCTCTGAAGGTTAAGGTTTTGGCCCGTGTTGCATACTAGATGATTTACCTTTACCATCTGATGTCTGTGCCTCTCTGCTCTCCATTAGCTGTCACTCCCAGTTACTGCTGCTTCGCTGGGTGGCTGGCCATTGTCCTCAGGCGACAGTGCTGCTGGCAGCTGCGCTCAGATGGAAGAGAGGACCGACATGTTGCCGTTAGGTCTGCTGTGGAGTCTTGCAATTGGTTCAAAAGGACACAAAAGAATATATCACACAAGGCAACATACACGAGGAATGTACATTGTGATAGAGAAGATACAAATAGATTGACGATAATAAAACTGTAAAACAATAAAAAAATATACAAGAAGTAAAAACACCACAAGTTAAAATGATGCAAGCTCATACTGTTCAGACTAGAGCAACAGTTTTTAGACACATCAAACACATTGTTCCTAAATGAGCTTTCCTTGCATATGTAAACATCCTGCAAAATATCCATACACCATTACCTGCAAGGCTTAACCCAGAGATCCAAAGACAACGGGATATCAAACTGGGTATTTCCAACAAGTGGAGATGTTCAGTAGGGTGAAGTGTGATGCCAGAGATGCATATTTACCATTTTCACATAGTCTCTCATAATATCTATCAAAAAGAATATAAAAGTGACTATTTGCACATTTGAAAAGCTCTAGGATAGGGTATATATTATTTTTTCACTGGCCTTTGTAAACCCATTATCTCACAGCCCACCTGTGTGTCTGCCTTAGTATTTGGCGCCCTCAGGTGTCCACAGGGAGCACTGCATAATTAGGACAAACGAAATTATGAGCCGTTTTTTCGAACACTTGCTGTTGAAATAAATTTGTGATGGATGTTTACAATTTGTATTTGATATAGTATAGATGCCGTGTTGGAGAAGACCTCCGTACGTCCACTGTATGAAAACTGTTTAACAGATTATGTCTTAGCCACAGTTTAGATATCATTCAACAAAATTATATTATTGTTTTTTTAATTCGGTTTGGGGGGTTGTCTCACACATTATTCATGTAAGATTTACAGCAACACTGAACCTTGTACAAACCTATATATAGTAAAGTGAATTTGAACGTCCTACATATCTGCAATAAACACATAGAAACAGTTTCTCTTTTTATTCATTAGGAGTACTGGTTCTTACAGGCCGATCTTACTGACTGCTCTGAAAGTTGGTGGAAACAAGATATTAAAATATACACTAAGTAATTATATTGTCTGTTAACCCCTCACAGCCCCATGGGATGAGCTCGAGTAACCCTTCATGGACACCACCAGTCATGCTCCAGTGGATTTTAAACTGGATTAACACTATTGATTATATGAAAGATGTTGTTACTACTTTTTCACACAAGCCTATAGTAATTGTGGAATTTATCGGTTGCTTTTTGTGACGTTTGCATTTGTTCTACAACCACTCCATCTCTCATCTCAATCCTTTTCTGCTCGCTTTGTACAGTTGCTAATTTTCATACACTTTAAATCACGTTTTCCTCTACCAAATCATAATCTTTTTTTCAAGCAACTCCACAATCTTAACATGGCAACTGCAGAAGCTCCCTGGTTGATAAATCTGGTCTGTTGTGTCCACATCTGGCTTTAAATAATGTCAACACATCAGGCCTTACCTTAGTGGCAGAAATCACTGTAGAGATGACAGTTTTGTGGCCAGACTGCACGCTCGTGAACACATCACCAGCATTTCAATAAAACTACATTATTATCTACAAGGCAAATATTACATGATGCAATAAGGCAATAAAAACACATCGAAGTAGTGTAAATGACTGAGCCAGTAAAACCAGAAATGCAACGTAAAAGCGATGCATTGGATATGAAAACATCTTTACTACTACTAATCATCACTATTCAAGAATAACTCCTTGGACAGTGAACGCACCTGCGCGGTCACGTGACAAAGACAGCCTACTGCGCCTTCTCGTTTGAGATGAAAAAGACATTTTCATAACGACATTAATCATGGACAGAGGCGATAACCTCAGCGCTGTGATTTGCAAGTTATGTGGAGAGGCATTCACTCTGCCTGGTAGGACATTTACATCCCCTTTCTATCAGTTCAACGCGCTGTTATACCGTGTTTTAGGATAAAGTTATCTTTAGCTAAAAGAAGTCTTAGCTAGCTAGCTTGCAAATCTATGGATGATAGTCAGGTGTGTTAGCAGGTCCTTCGGAGCCGTAAAATTAATATAATTATCTGAACCCAAGACGTAACCGTGTCAAATACAAATGTAAGTGAATAATATAATCCAGTGAGTTCACAAGTTCTCCAAAGTTTATCGTTTCTTCCAGCATGTGGTAGCTACCGTCAGGTCTACGTTAGCTAGCTCATATCGGTTGCACTGAACGTCGCGCCAACAGCGTGGCATAAATAAATAATAAAGTTAAACATACAGATTATTTGCAACACAAATTGTGCGTTTAAGTACTGATCCGAGTAGATATTTTGATTCCCGCTGTGATTATTTTTAAGCAGAGCTGGGTGGAGAAAGTTGTAGGAAAGAAAGTTTCGTTAACTGTCTGACTGTGACCGTCTCGGGGGGGCAGGGGGGCAGCCCCCTCCTGCAGCCCCCTCCTGCAGCCCCTGCTTCTGTCAGCCAATCGGGGTTGAACATGACCTCCCTCCTGCTATGAATACTGAACTTAAGTGCCTAATAATAACAAAGTTGTCCATGAAAAATACAGTTTTTCTATAACCTGTATGTAATGAGTAGTGATTGTTTTCTCACCATTAAGTCTGAGTCAACTCAACAAAGTTTGTTTATTTTAAAACATTAAGGAAATCAGTGAGGGGGGAAATTTGTATTATTCTCAAAACATGTAATTGACATGTAAACATGTGTTGCACTGTTGAAAAGGATCACATCAGAATTTTGGGGACACAACTTAACGAAGAGATAATGCCAGACACAAGTGTCCATTATCAGGAATTAATGGATGACATGGAGGCCAGAACTGCCCAGTAATTCCTGATTATGTGCCATTAATATAGTTTATATATGGGACAGAGCTTCTGGGTCTGTGAAGTGTCTTAACCCTTTATAGGAAACTCATTAAAATACTCATTAAAACCATGGAGGTGGATATAAAAAGAATAAAAAATCATTTTGAAAAAAAGTTTGTTTTAGGCTGCAAATCAAAGTCAACCAGTTACCACAAACAACCTGTAAACACAACCTCAGTAACATAAGAATGTAATTATAAATGTTAGAAAACTGTTTTTAAACAAGACGACTTTGATCACCTGTCAAAGTTCATTACAGTCCAGTCCAGTCACTTAGACAACTGCTTCACTTTATGAAGCAGTTGCGCTCAGCATTGAGGCACAAGTGGACCTTACAGACTGCGCAGAGCATGTTTGACTCCAAGATGTGCCCCTTCCTGCTGCAGTGCTTGCAGGTCTGGCAGGTGGTGTAGACAGGGGCATGCAAAAGGAACAGGTCAAAGTGCACAAAATCATCTGGAGAGTGGCTACGGTGTCTCCGTTCAGGCTGCACCTCTTGGATTTCATGGGGCTACTGTAGAGATGGACCAGCATGTCACGCTTGTCAATTCCCCCCATGTTGGAATTATAGCTTTTGATGGCAGCAGGGCAGCTCATTTGCTCCTTCCGCTTGGTCTCACTGCAGTACCCGTGGACTGAGGACGTGGGCTCCACTCCAATGTCTGTTGACAGCAGAGTGAAAATCTTGTTGTCCTTCTACCTGAGGGCCAGGATCCCATCATCACTGGTGATTGTAGCTGCAGGTAGAGGTGGGCGATATATATCGTTTGTGATAATATCGTGATTGTTGTTTTGACGATGTGCAAATTTCCATTATCGAGTATTTAAATTACTTCGCCAAAAACATTGAAACGCACGCGGAAACTCCTCACATCCACTTAATACACGGTGCAGCAACGCTCTCTACAGCATGGCAGGATTCAGTCACACGACTAGTGGGCCTACGTGATCACATGACGTGATCACATGACCTCTCTCTAGCATCCTCCTTGCAACAGTTTAGCAGCGCGTTGTGATGGTAGGGAGCTACCGGTACTTCAGATGATTTAGTGCCGAGACGTGGGTCTACCTCTCTGGCATGGAAATGGTTTGGGTTCGAAAATCCTTTTTTAGCGCAGCGCTCAGAGCGCTTTAAATTGAAATCTGTTCAACTTTTAACACCGCTGGACGCTCGGAAAATGAGTTTTTTAGCGCTCTCAGTGCAAACCCTAACTCAGACTATTCCAATCACATTTTAAAGGATATCAACTGATTATCGTTATCGCCAAAATCCCCCAAAATAACGAGATATTATTTTTTGCCCATATTGCCCACCCCTAGCTGCAGGTACCCCAAGGAACAGCCTTCTTCTCCATCTCCTTGATGGACTTGAGTAGAGGCTTCCCTATTCTGTTATCCCTGGCTGTCCCTGTATACCTGTAGTTCTTGACCTTGAGGTACCGCACCAATTCCAGCCTGGTGAAGAAGTTGTCTGCAAAGATGACCAGGACGGAGACTGTCTGTCTGGTGGCGCTCAAGGCCTCTTGTTCAGGCGTGAGAGGGATACCATGAGCCTCCGACGAGGTCTTCTCCCGATATAGCACCATGTCATGAATGAAGCCATCCTCAAAAACTGTACTGCCTCAGGTTACCAGCTGTCTTGCCTTTGTAGGCAACCATGACCTCTAGGGTTGGGTATTGTTAAGAACCTCACGATTCGATTCGATTTTGATTCTTTAGGTCACAGTTCGATTTAATTTCGATTCAATATTGATTTTAAATTCTTCGATATCGATTCAGTAATAAGTAAATTACAGCTTCGGGACGGCAACTTCCACCGTGTGTTTGCGTGTCGGTATGGCGTATCGTGGTTCGAGTGTGTATACCATCTTCTTAAAACCCCCGTTTTCCACGACACTGTACGGTCGTAGGTCCTTACATATGAAGACGGCCACAGACTCTGTTATCTTCTGTGTGTGGGCAGAGTTTGGCGGCAGTTTGCAAAGGAAGGATCTGTCGAGTTGCGTCTGTTTTGAATCCACAGGTTTAGCCGCGGGTTAAATCCTGTTAACAGGAAAAATCCCATCCTGAAAATAAATATGCAACTCTAAGGGTTTCAAAGTGATTGTCATGTCAATATTTATTAAATTCACAAAATGTCAAATATTTGAGTCTTGAAATATAAGAAAAGTGCAAAGTGCAAGTGTAAAATTCTTACACACACTATCAATAAAACAGTGTGCAACTGAACAGCACAAATCAAGTACTCTGGCTCTTGTAGCATCAACAAATCAAGGTTTTAAAATGTCAATTATCTGAAATATAAGGAAAGTGCAATAACTGTAAACATCTTACGCACGCACACACACAAACACACACACACACACTTGGTAATCCCTTAAGCTTTCACGTTGTCTGAGTTTACCTTGTTTTTGGAAGAAGTGATTCCTGACAGCTCACCTAAAAAATCCTCGTGCTGTTTCGTGTGGTGCTTTTTTAAATGTTGGATTGCGTTCGTAGTGTTGTACGACGCGAGGGCGCTTCCGCGTCTCTGGATTACGGCTTTGCAAACATTGCATTTTGCTGTCTTGCTCTGCGGTGTTTCCAGTGTAAAGTATTTCCACATAGCGGACATGTTGGCTAGCCACAATGCTGCTCAATGCTATCCTGCTAGCTGGCTGCAAACTGCGGAATGGATTTCCTGAGCGGAGGCGTGTCTCATAACTCTGTGTCTCATTGAGCCGCGCCTCCGTTCAGGAAATCCATTCCACAGTTTGCAGCCAGCTAGCAGACTGGCCGGCAGGAATCACTTGTGGAGTGATCTCAGCAGACAACAGTAAAGCGCAGACATGGCTCATGGATATCGGAAATCTGCGCAGGTTGGATCGGGAAAATCCGACACGTGAAATACGCTGGTATCGGTCCTGATACCGATACTGGATCGGATCGGCCCTATCCCTAGAAAGCAGTAACAGTGTATATATGTATATCACCTATAACAAAAAATATTTTCATATAAATTGTAACTATTTGATAAGACGTGAAAATAGCATTGTAAGTTATGGTGGTACCACTTATTTTATGGTCATGATTAGATTTTTTAAGGCTCACAGTAAGAAAAACTAAAACCACGTAGTCTAATAAAAACTGTCATAAGGTCATGAACCTGACCTAAATCACACACAGTTCTCTATTTTAGCTTGAAAATATATATAAAAGGATTACAATTCAGGGGCTGCATCCCTGAATTGGGACACAGCTTTTTTCTATACAACGTTGCACAACAGAAAATGAAAAAAAAAATGTCCCCCCGATTTTATTAGTTTTGAGATCGTTTGGCCCCAAAATCGTAATCATGATCAAATTTCGATTAATTGAGCAGCCTTATTCTGCTCCTTCATTAAGAGATGTGGTGTCGCCATTTTTGTAGTTAGCGGAAGTTACCATATATGGTTCCTCGCCCGATAAACCTGCATTCTATGTAAAGGCCAGCAGGGGGAGCTCCATTTAAATTGCAATTTAAAAAATAAAATTATATATTATTTTATATTATATAATTTTACCATGCAGTCTTGTGGAGAAATTGCCCGACTTTTCACTTGATTTATTAGCTCAGTAAACAGTTTCCTAATGAGTTTATGGTCTCAATCACTAGATTCAAGTCTTCTTCCATACAGCATGATGTTCATTTAGTAAATGATGGTCCCATTTAGAGTAAAATAGACGATAAAGCAGGGTATGCTTTTGCATGGCTACCTTTTGATTGACAAGTCATTCTCAGTACGTCCATCCAGCGCAAAAACCTTTGGGTTTGACTAACACCTGGAACAGTCATTACCATCTCTTTAGGTTCTTATGATAAATGGGCCGTACTTTAGATACGATTTGACAGTACCATCTTTGACAAATCGTAGAAAAGTTCATTTTAGATTATTTTAAACCCTCATTATCTAACAGTTGATGTAGAGCAGACAACCTTTTCTTTACAGGAACCCTTAATGTGGGATTGAACTGTGCTTTTATATTGAATGGGGAGATGCAGTGACCATTCACTTTGATAACAGAAATGTACATGATGTGCGCTTGCATTCATCATTTACACTGACATTGCATTATTCCTGATTGCTTTAATTGTATTTTTCAGATGAGGATGAAGTTGACAGACACCTCCCTCGTGTCCTTTTATGTGGCCACATCTACTGCACATCTTGCCTGCTGTCCATTCAATGTGACAGTGTCATTAGATGTCCTGAGTGTGAGGTAAAATTACCAGTGATTGGAACAGGGAATTTCTTGGCACCAGAAGTACTGCTTGTAGTGTTGTCAAGAACCGCTCATCTGATCAACTTGACATTCTCATCTGGACACGGCACTCCCTTGGGTCTTGAACAATAAACCCGCCAAGTGTGAAGTCGATTGGATGAGCGGTTCTCGAGATATGTGAAGGACAGTCATACACACATAAAAAGATACAGATAGACAGAGATTCCTTCCTTTTCTAGTTAGATGATATGGCTACAGCCCTACTTATTGACCAAATTACATCATATCAACACCAAATGTGGTTGCAATAAGTGTCCAGGAGGTAAGACATTTTTTGTAATATAAGGCCTGCCCACAGTAAATAGCAAAACTATGTGGAATATCATAAATCAGATAAAGTGGTAATAAAGCACCACCATATGGCCAAATTGCATCACATTTGACACAGAAGATGCAACATGGCTCTAGTACTGTCAGAAGACTGCTGAAGCATTTCCCAATGCTTTAGTGGCCTCATGCATTACACATCTGTTTGTTCTATCAGGCTGACCTTCTAACTGTGTATTTTGAGTGTGCCTTTTTGTATGGTCAGACTATGCATAAAATGCAAACCTTGTCCTTGCTGGCCACATTGGTTGGTAACCAGCCAGCCTTTTGTTTAATCTTGCCATGGCTTGATTTGTGATTTGTGACTTGTGCAAATGTTCAAGTGGTAGGATGTCAGGAAAAAAAACCCAACTCACTCTCTGCAGGTTGAGTTGACTGTTCCTGAAGGTGGTGTGCATGAGCTGCAGGAAGATAGCAGAATCATTGGCCTCATCTACACTGCTAAAATGAACAAGATAAAAAGGTAAAATGCTGTAAAGTAACAACCTTTACCTTCTTGTGTGATTATAGGGCTGTACTGAATATTTAGAAGCTTCTTTCAGGGCCTTGACATTCAAATTATACATAAATATTTGATTGCTGCGCAGGTAGCAACCAGGTTACAGTATCGTCTCTGTCCCTCTTCTCTCTCCTCTGTTACTTACACACACACACACACACACACACACACACACACACACACACACAAATTAGATTAATGACAGTAGTATACTTGAATGGGAAGAATTAGATTGTATAATAGATTTTCACAAGAGAATGTGTCTTTACATTGATAAATACTTGGCTGTTGTAATCTCCTGAAGCCTCCGATGTGAGAGATCAAAGTATCGCAGAAGGAGCAAATTACCAACATCCACAGAAGTGAACACCATGGCCGAGAATATGGAACAGGTATGTTTGGGTGAACACAGCAATTGCTGGTGGAAAAGGAAAGTTGTCATGTCAGACCCTACTGTTAATGTTTAAACTGCCTTTCTGAATGAATTTTATTGTTGGTACATTTCAAATTACATAACACTGTACTGTCCTGATTTTTGTCATACTTATGTGAAATGGCAATTAAGCAGACTACTGCAGGTGTCAAGAGATTATGATACAAACACTGCTTGCAAGTGTTAGAGGAAAAGGTCAGTTGCTCTCTGTGTTGGGAGTGAGATGTTGCCTAAGTGAACAACTCTTAGTACCTCAGGGTTTTGTTCACAAGTGACAGTCCAATAAAGAGGGAGATGGACAGCTGGATCGGTGCAGTAACTGAATCATCAGAATCAATTTTACCAGACGTTTGTGATGAATTAATTTACCAGTCGACCTATGTGCAGCTCCACACTTTTTACCATATGCTCTAGTACTGACCCAGAATAGGATTACAGATACATGTGGCTAATACGTGTCTGTTCTGAACTGTTGAGAAAAATTGAGGGGTTCAGAGAAGTGTAACAGAATATTAAAAGTTGCCTGCTGATGTGGATAGAGGTGTCTCCCAAGTGACTTCATTTTGAGAGTCATGCCGGGAAGCCAACCCTGGGGCAGACCTACTGCACCCTGAAAGATTTATATATCCCGGCTCTCCTGGGAATGCATTGAGTTCCTTGGAGGAATGTCTGATCAGAGGTCAAGCTGTTACTAAAGCTCAAAGTATGTTATGATGTAAATTTGTCACCTGCCCTTAACTTAAAGTCAGGTAATTGGAATGGAGGTGCACAGTGAACATAAATAATTCAGATTAAAATTGTTAAAATTCTGGATATGTTTTATTCAGCCAGCTGACATCGAGAAGATTGAGAAGGCACTGGATGAGGCGTTGGCCCGGGCTGCAGAAAATCTTGCCCAGCTGGAATACATCCATGAGGTGAAAGTAGCACTAGATCCAAAAAACTGCATACACCTTGTAGACCATGACTGTAAACAGCATTTATTTCCTAACAGGAAAAACATACATAACAGTTTTTTTTTTTTTCACAAGAGCTGTCTGTTTTATCTGTGCAGACTCTGACAACTGGTCTGGCAGAACAGGTGAAGAGAGAGAGAGCTCGGCTGGAGATGGAGATCAAGCAAGCTGCAGACAAATCTTTACATGCTATTCAAAAGTGGTATGGTTATAAACTCTCAAAATACACCTAAATGGCAAAAGCTGTATAATGAGGTCCCATATTCATATGAAACCAATGATTACAAACAGGTATTTTATCTCTTCAGATTGTTTTATTCTTTTGAAAATCAAACTATTGTCCGGGTTATTTTAAGGTTTTCTGAAGAAGTCTGTAAAGCAACTGGTATCTTAATGCTTGTAATTTCTCTGTCAACAGGAAGGAGGTGCAATTGAATCAGCTGACAAAACTGGAGGCACGGTTCTCCACCACCCAAACAGAGGTGTGCAGTGTCCAAGAGAGGATTAAGGTCCTGGAGACTGCCATGCAGATGGCCAGAGAAGTACGCCGTGTACCCTTCCTGGAGAAGTACTGCACCCTCGATAAGGTATGAAATGTAATGCTTATATTCATCTCAACAGATACTTCTTAGCGACCACACAATTCATAGTCAGATAGAACTACTACTATGATAGTAGTGTAGAATAAGTAAATGCAGATAAACTGTAGCTGCAGCTTGTACTTTTCCCGACAATTTCCCATTAAAAAATGGAGTCAGGCAAATGGTTTGCAGTGGCTGCCAAATCATACTGTGTTTGTTTGGGCAATAGGTTCTGGAGACGTTGCAGGCTCCTGTGGATAACCAGTCTTTCAATATGAAATGCATTACTGTGGGCTCTGGAATTAGGTTTGTCACTTTAAGCCAGATGTTTGTTTGCAATGTTGTAACTTTGTTTCTGTTCTTTTCATTCTAACAGTGTGTACACAAATAAACTACAGTAATAATGTTTTAATTTTAGTTTTTCTGCTGTATTAGCTACTGTAGCGGGTAACCAAATTCTGTTAAATATCCAAATATTTGCCAAAATAGAAGAGACTTGAAATATGCATGTACTTGCCACTGTTAATTTTCCCCTTTCTTGGTGCTGTAGATGATTACATTGAAGATGAACACTGGGTTTTGGCCTCTATGACTGATATTGAATTATGTTTGTGCTCTAGCTGTGTTTTCCAGTCAGAAAGTCTGAACCAGAGTTTGTCCTTGTCTCTGAAGGTGGAAGTCAGCAGCCCGAAGCAGTGAGTCCTTAAATATCTTCCATAATGTCATATGGATTGATTTGGACCTGGGGATAAATTCTTCCAAAAGCCCCTACATCTTTTTTTTCTTTTAAGTATATTTTCTGTTGGAAGTTGCCAAAACATTATGGATGAGCAGTTAATTCATTTCATTTTTTAAATTAAATTTTTTCTTTTTATGGCTATCAACTCATGTGGCATCTGTGTTTTTGAAGTGGTCTTGCTGTGTACTCTTAGGTTGTCCCAGTCTCCACCCAAAGGCCACCAGCCAGGCAGCTCACCCAGAAAGTCTCCCTGGCAACGCACAGAGGGCAGGAACAGCAACTCTATCCCGCCCAGTCGCAACAAGTTTCCCAGACCCAAAAAACATGACCAGGAAACTCAGAGAGGTAACAGTTCACCGTTGCAAGGCTCCTCTCCAAGCCCAAGACATCGTCAAGGGTCCAGCCTCTCTCGCCACAGCTTGACCTCAGACCTTGAAACTCCAGATGTGATTATTGAGGAGCTTTTAGATGAAGGACAAGAGCATGGTGTGTGTGGCTTTGACACATGTTTATGTTTGACTTTGATTTTACTTAAATAATGTCAGATCCAATTAAATCCAGTCTATTCCAATTCAGTTAAATGCTTTGTGTCTTTCTGTAGCTCTCCCACCCACTGGCCCTGAGCTGGCTAATGACAAATGGAGAATCCATAAGAGAAGGAAAAGCCTGTATGACAATAAGAGAAATGGTAGGGAGAGGCATCTGTATAATCTTATAATTATATTGATATTAAATATCTAACATTAAGACTTTTTGAAGATAAAGCTCTTTGATAAATCAATCAATTTGAAATCTTGTGTTGTCGCATTTAAATATATGTATATATAGTGTATCTGTCCTCATTCCCTTGCACCTTCTCTGCCAACCCTTTTCTTTAACTTGTGACCCAATATTCCTTTTTTCTCATACTTTTTTCTCTCGTCTCTCTCCTCCCATAATTTCTCTTACCCCTTCTACCCCCTTTCCTCCCTATCTCGTTTTCCTCACTCGACTGTTCTAGTTTCTCAGTGGGTGGTGGTAACCCACATTGTGAATCCATGTCACTTCTACGTCCGCTATGTGGCTGAGAAGAGGGAAAGTGAGACCCTGTCTAAGAAGATTAACCACTTGTGCTGCAGAGATAGTTGTCGTCGTTTCACCACCTGTGACACAATGGAGACCGGTGTGTGTGTGTGTGTGTGTGTGTGTGTGTGTGTGTGTGTGTGTCCTCAAAATGATGGACAAATAAGGACAATTACATTTTCAACAACAATGGAAGTAAATGTTATTGTTAAAGGTTAGAGACCGTGTTTTCACCAAATTAAAGTTTAGACAAAAAGGTTAATTAGTGCACCACCTGATGACAGATGAATTAGCTGGTCCATATGCACTTAATGAAGTAATTTATGATTGAGAAATTGCTGATGGCTTTATGTTGTAAATATAAAATAATCCATCACAAAAATATGATTATAGATTATTTCAGTCTTTTTTTTTTTTTTTTCACGTGTTTGAGTTTCCCACCAAATAATATTGAGAGTGCATCACACACCACTCATCCTCTCAGAGTGGAGTGCAACATACTTGGCATGTGATTCAGCTTTTGTTTCTCTGCTCCTCTGCAGGCTCCACAATCTTTGTCAAGTGGGAGGAAATCTGGTGGCGGGCCAGTGTGGTTGAAGTTTTGAAGAACGGATGTGTGGAGGCTGTGAAATCCTGCCCAGTCGACCAGCTGGCCAGTATCCGAGTCTTCTTTCTTGACTGTGGTCTCACCAAAAGCATCACTATACAGAGGTACACACAAATACTAGATGGTCCACAGAAACAAATTGGTGTTTGTTCTGTTAACTATCCAGTATTGTATCCTGCTACACACCTGCCTACTTCTTAGCATCAGTGACAGCCTTCCAAGTGTTTGTTATTCTCACAGTTGTTACAGTTTTGTTACAGTTGTTTTTTTTTGTCTAACTTAGACCTACTAAAGAAGGGAAAGGCAACATGATGCCTGCATTGCAAGTCCTGCAGTTTTTTTTCTATACTTGCTCAGATTGTTTCACTTTCTGCACTAAATAACTGAAAAATGCAAAGCCTCTTATCATAATTATTAAAATACTGTATATCAGAAAAACATCCCAGCCTCTCAGTATGGCCTCAGTTTAAAGAAAGTTTTCCACCAATATATATTGATACATATACAGGTTGTGCAGCATAAATGCTTAACTGACTCACACTAACTGAATGCCTTGATTGTGAAGCATTTTCTCAGTTATTCAATAGAACGCTGTACAAAGTTATTGTACTACATCGTCCACTCTTCTTTTGACACCTTTTCCAGTGAGGAGGGGACCACTGAGTCCTTACTGAAGGCTGTGAACAACCACCTGAAGAAGGTGGGTGAGGCGGTCAATGTGGAGTTGGGTTACTTTGCTCCTCAGGCCATCAGATGTTCACTCAAGGACCTGGTCCCCTATGACCTGGTAAGACTACTGAGATTAAATAGATACAGTATCTGTTTTTACTAAATAATTAAATTTTCCATCTCTAATGAGGAACAAGCTTTTCACAACAGAACATAGCATAAAATAAAACCTTTGAGGAAACAGATGAGCAGAATATAACTTGGGACTTCCCATTCAAGTATACTACTGTCATTTAGCACTATATTTAGGCACTTAAGCTTAGCCTTTCCAGATGTTTAAAAACATAAATCAAACATTTGCTGCAATATACAAACTACAGGTTATCCATCATGTTTTTATGTTTCCACCTTCCTCTAGCCACAGTATCTGAAAGCGACGTAGACAGACAATCAGATGTAAGACTTAAAATGTGGGGTTTTTTGTCTGTATTACAGTGTTTGTTTTATAAAATGTATTGCGGTTTTGTTTTGTTTTTTGCAAGCAGCAGTAGTAGGAGGTGTGTTAACTGTTTTTTGTGTGTGTTTGTGTGTTCAGACAAAGGGCTGGAGTGAAGAGGCACAGGTTGAATTCCACAGAGTGGTTGGTTCTGCAGCAGTGGAGATGCGCCCTTTGGGTCAGGACGGAGACTCTTTATTGGTGGACCTGAGGAAAGCCCCCATGGACCAATCCAGTGATGTGCCCATTTCTGTCAGAGAGTACCTTGTTTTCATTGAAGTGGCCAGGTACAAATGTGCATGTTACCAGGAACAATTCTGATGTCACTGAATAGAGAATAGAGTCCAATAGAATTCAAATTGATTCAGATTGAAATTCGGACATTCTGAACACCAAGCCCTACTACTGAAGTGGCCTAACTTTAGATGTGCTCCTCCAAAAAGGTTCTACTCTCCAGTGACATTGGGCAGGAAGCCCCTGCTGTACTACCCCGCTGTCTGTCCCAATATCAACAAAGAGCTTAATGCAGTGGTGTCCCACATCAACAACCCTGCTGACTTCTACATCCAGCTGGTATGAAATATGTGCACAAATAAACACACATGCACTACATATATACATATATATATATACACACACACACACACACACACACACACACACACACACACATATATAATACGGTCAAAGGGGGTTTAAATGCCAGCGATCTAATTTAATTTACAAGAGAAAAAAACTTGTGTGCTTAGGGGAGAAAAGAAAATTTTTATATGTTCAAAACACAACTTATTTTTTCTGTCTTTTTTTCTTTTTCATTTCCCCATCTTTTCATTTTGTCAACCTCCACCAGGTTGATAACATAGAGTCCCTGTTGCTCTCAGCCAAGCTCCAGGATTGTTACAATGCAACAACAATGGCTGGAGAAGAAGACCTCAACGTCTACTGCCCTGTGATAGGACAGGCCTATGTTGCCCGCTATGATGACAAGTTGTGGTACAGAGCCCAGGTCATAGGTGAGGATGTGTTTATGTGCAGGTCACTGTTTGAATAGATGTCTGTCATAGTACTGGGTATTAATGCAATAGTGTAATCTAATAGTGATTCAATCAATATATCCAGTTTATTTTGTCAGAATGTCCGCTGGACAAGACTTGGTTTTGTCACAGTCAAACATTTGTGACGTATCCTGTCTGAACACAGTAAAATATCTTGGAATGCTATAAAAAGACAGCCTTTGATTATGTTGACTGGAATTGTTTGTTTGTGGTGATGACAGTTTGGCCTGGGTTAAAAAAATACTGCCAGTGATTATATGCATCCCTAGCTGCATATGCTGTCAGTAGGGCTGTCAAGATCAAACTAATTTTAAATGACACCAATTCGTTCAAATGAATTTGATCAAATAATCTCAAAACACATATGTACAAATGGAAAACGTAACGTTCAAACTGATCTGAAGGATAATACATTTTCTCATACCACACCAATGGGTTGCATATGCATATCCTTGCATATAAGTCTTGCTCTCTTATTGGTGACACATTTTTACAAGCTTCTGGCAACTGGCCTGCTGAAGCTGATTGTGCCAAATAGTAGCAGTCAGACGGTCAGGTTGAACACTTGACGTTGCTTCGGTCATCTGTAGTGCCTCCGCTCTGTTAGTTATGTTAGTTAGTCTGCAGATTTGTTGTCGTTATAGAGTAAGACAGCTGTTTTGACAATGCTGACAGAAGCATGCTGCTTCTGAGATGCTTTGTCGTCGTGATTGTCACTACAGCACAGCTTTGCTCCATGCTTTGCTTACCAGTGCACTCCATTTTATAGTAAATAGTAAATGACATCAAATTACTAGCTTAGTTTACTGACAGATCAGTAGGGCATGCCATAGGTCAAGCTGGCAGTGGAGCGGCCTCTGCTGGATCACAAGGCAAACAACTTCATCTGGTCAGTTGCGCTTATTGACTCTTAAGTATACATTACCATAGTTTTAGTGTTTTATTTTATTGTATTGTAAATATTTCTTTGTTTGTAAATGACTATCTCGTCTACCTTTTTATTAATTATTATTATTAGTAAAATGCCCACATGGAAATCTTAATGCATTTTTAATTATATACTCAAATAGATAATTAAAGATTAAAGTAGTTTGTGATTTATCTCATGAACTGATTTATGACGCAATGAAATAAATGAAAAGGTGAAACAACAGACTTTTTTCTATTGTCACAGAAAGTATATATCAGATATATATTGAAATATCGCACAGCCCTACGTTCAACTATTTTGTTACTAAGACTGTTACTAAAATGTTAGTGTTGTAAATGGCCGTGTGTGTGTGTGTGTGTGTGTGTGTGTGTGTGTGTGTGTGTGTGTGTGTGTGTGTGTGTGTGTGTGTGTGTGTGTGTGTGTGTGTGTGTGTGTGTGTGTGTGTGTGCGCGCGTGCATGCATGTGTGTAGGTCATCCAGGGGGCAGAAAAGTGGAGGTGCAGTATGTAGACTTTGGCAATAAGAACATCTTGTCAGTCAGTGACTTGAGGAAGATCAAGGATGAGTTCTTTGCCCTTCCTTCCATGGTGAGAACACAGCATTTTATTTTACTTTTGTAATGAGAAAACAACATGATCTGTACCTGCTGTAAGTTTTCCTTCGTGAGTAATAGCAGAAAGTGACCATCTGTCTTTTTGTTTTGATAATGTCTAGATACCATATGCTGCAATTGGGCTGTTGTTTTATGATACCAGTTCTGTAGCATTAAAATCAGCCAAAATTAGTTCCTGTACTACTTACTCAATATATTTTTGTAGCCTATATAATAGACTATAGACTTTACTTCTTACATACTGTATGAAACATTCAAGAAGTAGTCCTCTAAAGCCTGTTTACATTGTATTATGCTAAAATGTTTCCATTAGCAAACAATATATTTTTCTTTTACTTATACACTCCTGAACAAAATCTTAAGACCAGGGAAAAAAGGCAAAGTATTTGCATTTCACACTGGTGGAACGTAACCACATTGTAGGTAGAGCTTCAAAATGCAAAAAGAGGAAATAGGAGCAAGAGACAAAAAAATAGAGTAGGCAATTTATTGAAAACTGCATTTAAACTCAAATAGGCTTTCATGTAATTTTCTATCAGGCATTCACACTGTAATGACCCCCTGATGGCAAAGGCAAAAAGGCTTTCTGTCTTTGAACGTGGCAGGATTGTTGAGTTGCACAAGGAAGGCCTCTTGCAACGCGCCATCGCTGCTCAGGTTGGACTCAGTAAGACAGTCATTTTAAATTTCTCAAAAGATCCTGAGTGTTAAGGGACAAAAAGTCAACTGGTAGACATAAAAAAAATTCACCTGCACTGAGCTGGAGGATCCGACGGACAATAACCATCAGACGGCATCTGAGACTGAAGGGCTTAAAGAACAAAACATTTCTTCAAAGGCCACGTCTCCTCCCACGCCACAAACTTGCCCATTTGCGCTTTGCAAGGAAGCACCAAACATGGGGCATTTAAAGGTGGAAGAAAGTTTTATTCTCTGAGAAAAAATTGAACTGACGGTCCTGATGGCTTCCAATGTTACTGGCATTTAAAGGAGATCCCACTGGAGATGTTTTTTACATGGCACAGTGGAGGAGGCTCCATCATGATCTGAGGTGCTTTTTCCTTCAATGGAACAATGTAGCTTCAGGTTGTGCAGGGGCGTAAACATATTTAGTTCTGTTTTTAGTTATTTTTTTTGGTTGGTCTTAAACTTTTGATCAGCCGATGAGCAGCCTGTTTGACTTTAAATGCAGTTTCAGTAAATTGCCTATTCTATTTTTGTGTCACTTGCTCCTGTGTCTTCATTTTGCATTTTGACACTCTACTTAGAACCTGGTTATGTTCCACCAGCGCAAAATGCGAATACTTGTAATTTTTGCCCTGGTCTTAAGATTTTGTGTATATTGGGGTTTAGTGCTGGGTTAAGTGAACAGGAACTGTCTCTTCTGCTGTCCAGGCAATCCACTGCTGTCTGTCTGATATGGTTCCTCTGGATGGAGAGACGTGGAGCGATGCCTGCACTAACAGATTCATCAAACTAGCTCACCAGAAACTGGTCACTATGGTGGCTACAGGTATGTTTGCTAACATTATTATTATTTTTTTTACACAGAACCATCTGGGAAGTTGTCATTGGAAACTGTAAAAGGATAGGCACTTTCAAAAAATATTGTTATTGGATGAACCATCTGTCTATCGTGGGCGAACTCTCAAACTTCCCGAAGCCAGAAGATCCAAAAACATTTTACATCGAGAAACGACTTCAGTGCTGTTCTTTACTCTTCTTTCAATAAAGAAATACTCCCCAGTGGTGATATAACTGATGCTGTCAGCATCAACGCTAAACTTTTTTAGAAGCCACCATTATTGTTTATCTTCCTTCACCACACCTAGCACCCACCCTTGTTATTCCTCAAAAGATGATGATTGGTACCGGCCACAAACACATAGGTTGAAGACTTGAGTGATTCCATGATCTCACAAGACCAGTGACTGTGTGCATGGCCATGTGTTGTTGTTTTTCTTTTGGAGGAAGGCGGGAGAATGGAGTACTCGTCACCAAAACTAATTTTGTGGTCTGTGTGTTTTGTCACCATTTTTTCCCCCTGTACCCCTCCAGCAACCGTCCCCAAGAGTGAGCCTCTGCCAGTCAAACTGTTTGAGAGCGGCCTGAACGGGCCTCTAGACAACATAGCTGAACTGCTGGTCAAAGAGGAGCTGGCCTGCTTCAGAGAGGGGTGAGAGTTGACTCAACGACTTCTATCCCTACTTTTATTTCAATTCTCAGTTCATCTTTCACTGTTGTACTTCTTTACTTTATTATAGTGATTTTATTCTTTAAATTGTCTTTCTCTTACACTCATTCCCTCCATCCTTTTGCTGTCACTCCACTTTTTTGTTGTGCATTATCTCAATTTTTCTTCTCTTACTGTCCCCCACTATTCCTCCAAAATCCTTCCTTTCCTGCAGACTGTCCAAGTCTAATGATGATTCTGCCATTTGGGACCCTCCACTTGAGCTTGGTTTTGCCACAGAGGGCACTGATTCTGCAAACCAAAAAATCACTGGAGATCAGAATGAGGAGCCACTTGAGTTTCAGCCTCAGCTGAAGCTCCCTGCACAACTCAAAGACTTGAAAGTCAGAGTCAGCCACGTCAACTCACCGAGCAGCTTCTATGTCCAGCTCACCCAGAACGACTCTCAGCTCAAAAGGTTGGCAGCAAAACCATGATTTTAAAATCCTTTGAATAAATCAAATATTGTTACAGGAAAATCATATTCTTCCAGTCAAGGGCCAGATTTGTCTGTACCGTAGAATACCGAGTGTTAATCATGAATACTACTTTCACAAATGCAATCTTGTGGTGCCCTGATAGCTCAGCCCCCGGCTGGGTCCTTGCTGCAGCAGCCATGGGTTCGACTCTGACCTGTGACACTTTGCTGCTTGTCATCTCTCTCTCTCTGTCTCTCTCTCTCTCTTTCTTTCCATCCTTTCTTTTCGCTCTAGAACTGTCACTGTAAAGGCAATTTGGCAAATGATAAAAGCCCTCCCAAAAAAAACTGGCAATCCCTGCCAGCAGTGCTGACATCATTAGAATATTACGTTTTCTGTCAATCAACTAGTTCAGTGATTGAAGTGTTTCTCAGACTTCTTACACCACATACCACCTCCTAAAATATTAGGCTCTCCAAGTACCACCATTATGACCACCATTAAAATATAGCAGTGACCCTGTTCGGCTACAGACAGTTCATGCAGGAGTCAGGTTTATTCCTAATAAGGGGATCATTTATTGTTAACTGTTGTTGAATCCTGAATGGAACCGGTTCAAGAACCAGAGCTAATTTGGTGGAAAAAGGGTACAGCTTGTCCACACTTAGCAGTAGTTCCTATTTATAGCTGCGTTTGCAATGTTTTTGAACCATTCATTTTACCTCCACTTACTATGTTGCCATCACATTTCAGCTTGTAACTAATCACGGATGTATGCATGCAGTACGTGCATGAACATTAAGTATTAAATGTATTATATAGATTATGTGTATATATAGATATAGATTCATCCACGTACCGCTAGAGACAGCTTGCAGGCCTGACGTACACGAGAACCAGTGTACTAGTTTATTAATTAACAATTCTAACTATTGATTAAATTAAGTAGTTCATGAAGCAAACTTTTCTAAATCTCTGTTTATATTGTAAATTGAATGTCTTTACTTTTTTGCTGTGCTAGTAGGAAATAACAAGTAATCTGAGTATGTCACCTTTGAATCTGGAACTTATATTACCATTTTCTGTGTTTCTGACATTGTGTAGACTGAAAGAAAGAAAAAACAAATCTAAGGTTAATTGATAATGAAAATGATTACTAGTTGCTGCCTTACCTCCCACACGCCATGGTTCAAAGCTATGTCTGCTAGGCTAATATTTTAGCTTGTTAATGTTTGAACTGTACAAGCAAGCCAGCATTACTTTGTGTTTGTTAATGCAGTATTGTATACTGTGCACAACAATGAAGCAATGGCTGCTTTTAATGCTCTAGCAGGGGTCATTTGAGCAATGAACATTCCTACCATAGTTAAATAAATCCAATCAAGGAACAGTCCTGCTGGTCATATGATATTGCAAGCATATAGTGTTAGTTCTGTGATGTGTTTTTCAGGATGTGTGAGCTGATGAAGCAGGAGTGTGCAAATATGGAGCCCCAAGATGTGAAGTGGAAGGCAGACATGTACTGTGCTGCTCACATTAACGGGGTTTGGGAGAGAGGACAGATTGGCTCTGATGTCACATCCAGCAACATTGCAGAGGTATAAAAACTTGTTCCTAAAGAGCAGCCTGAAACTATTGCACTTGTACTACATCCTTTTTACAACAATTTGAGTCAGTAAGTCAGAGTTTTCATATTTGTGTGTGTGTATGTGTATGTATATGTATGTATATATGTGTGTATATATATATATATATATATTGTGTTCGTTATTATTTTTTAAATCTTGTTTGAGTTTGTTATAGTGACTGTCTCTCCCTGTCTTTCAACTGGCTGGGAACAGGTGATACGCTGTGACCATGGCAACACGGTGAAGCTCCATGTCAGCAACTTGCGGCTGTTGCCGTCCTCCTTGATAGGCTCTCTCGCACTGGAGTGCACTCTTACTGACATCAGGTTACCGCTGCACATTCACACTGCCACACCCACTGTATTTAAACATACACTATTTATTCATCCATAAAAAAGAATAATCTAATATAATAATAATAATAATAATAATAATAATAATAATAATAATAATAATAATCTAATCTGTGTGTAATAATGTGCTTTATATCACAGTGTTTAACTATTCTCATCTTTTAAAAATAATGTGATTTAAATGCAGTACATGGAGTTTTTGATTTGTTAAAATACTTCACACTTAGTTTCACACAATGTGTGTCTGTGTTCACTCTTTCATGGTTCACTTTTTCTGACCTTGACTTCTTCCTCGCTCTCAATTCTCTCTCTCAGGCCAGCAGGGGGCAGATCCACCTGGACGGCTACAGCCTGCGATTTGATCTCCTACTACCTGACCGGAGCCTCGGCTGTTATGACCATCGAGGTCTTTCTCTCCTTTCCTTATGCCCCAATTTCTTTCTCCTTTTCGTTTTGCTGAAGTTTGTTGCTCAAGTTTCCTTCACTCTTTCTCTCCACTATGCACCTCTTTTGGTTGTTGATGTAATGACCTACTTTCAGTATGTGTGTCCCTCTCCTCACTTGTTGTCTAGGAATTGACAGATGAGCGTCCAGTGCCCGTCACGCTGTTCTGCTCCAACAGGATGGGACAGTTTGTCAGCATTGCAGACTTCCTGGCCAGCGAGGGCCTCGCCCTCAAGAAAAGAAAACCAAGGTGTGTGTGTTTTGATTATTATGATTTACATGTCTTGAATAACATAAGCCAACTATCTTTTCTCCATGTATCTCTTTCTGGTAGACATTACCACAGGAAGCTCTAAATAAATTCAAAAATATGGAGGCAACAATATCTTAAATTGTTTACTTGTAATATTTACTTCTGACTAGCCAAAACAGTCCAATTGAAGATTATAATGATAACCACTTCTGTAGTCACAAGGTCCTTGTATGATATTTTAGAACCACATCATTGCATTTTTAATAGTCAGTGCATTGTGCCAGTAGTCAGTGGCTGATATTCAGTTTGTAATTTGAAACCAATGTCTGTCTAATGTTAGTGGGCACTCTTTTTTCCCTTTAACTATATGTATCTGTCTTCTTGCAGAGATGCGGTCATTCAAAACCCCAAAGAAACTGATGAACAGTCTCTAGTGAGCGAGACACAAGTTGATGGCTCTGGCGACAAAAAAAACACTCCCTCAAATCCTTCCCTAGTTCCTCTCCCTTTCGTGTCCTCCCTCTCCACACCCATCCATCCAAAACCAGCTCCCCGCACCATTATGTCTGCAGAGAAGGTGATAACACACACAGTCACTGTCTGGTCGAGAAACCATTTTGATCCACTTGGATTCCATATAAACACAACAATACCAGCCTATCGATTAAAGGCATTCTGCATATATGTTGTTTATTTCTGTGGGTTTCTTTTATATCTCGTCCTAATGCTTTTTAATGTGTCATGTAAAGCACTTTGAATTTGAAGGATGAGCATTTGAGAGACATTGTGAAGAGAATTTATCTTAGAATCTACTGAATAACAAAGTGTGTGTGTGTGTGTGTGTGTGTGTGTGTGTGTGTGTGTGTGTGTGTGTGTGTGTGTGCGTGTGCGTACAGGTGAACACTCAGTTGTACCAACCCCCAGAGCTACCATGCCTCGGTCACATCCAGATAAGTGTCTGTGCCATCACGGAAGACGGTCTCATTTATGCCAGAACACAGAATGCAGGTGCACATAACACCAAATTGTCACGGAGCAAGTGCTGAGATTAACTGATACCTTTTAAATACTACAAACTTCTTTATTCCATTGTTTAATCCTTAATATAAAAATAGAAATTTGACTCAAAACATAATACAGTTTTGTTAAAAAACTGCTATAAAACATGAAGAGGGGTGAAAGAACGACTGTATGTGTAAAACAAAAGCAACAACCACATGTTAGGGTCAAGCAGCAACCTCTGTGGCTGGCAAATGAGGCCAACACGGAAATGTCAAAACTGCAGTTCTTCAAGCAGCCACTTGAGGCTGACTCCGGAAGTGAGTATTTCTCCATGAAGCCCTATATTAAAATGCCCAACTTTACAGCAGAATAATATCACTATATATTGAATCGTACCTTGCCAATACACAGCTCTAGAACACACTGAGCTTCACAACAATGCTTCAGAAACCTATGGGCGATGTCACAGAGACTCCGTCCCTTTTTAATTATACTGGCTAGGGTTTAGGTACGGTACTTCTTAGTATAAGTATTAAACGAAAAACAGAGACTTTATCTGGGGCTAAACAGCTTTGTATCTGCTCTTTAAATGTATTCATTGGCTTTTTTTATTAGGATGACTCTGTGTTTCAGTTCGAACAGAAAAAAGGCAGAAGAAACTAGGATGTAAAAATATGCTTGCTGTGTGTATGTGTGTATGTGTGTGTTTGATGTGTCAGAGTGTCAGCTGGAGCAGCTTAGGGAGAGGATTCAGCAGAGCATGAAGACATTGCCCAGACAGAAGCCTTATACCTGGAAGTCCGTCCTGGGCTGTGCCGTCATTGGACCTGATATGTTGTGGTATCGAGGACAGCTTTTGGAGGTGCTGGGAGGACATGTTAAGGTCAGAAAGACACACACAAAAAACTTTCCTTGGAATTTTAAAGAGTCTTTTTATGAACCATTTGAGGAGATTGGAGAACACAGGCAATTTAATATTTATGTTACTTTGAGAGATAAAGGCCACTGATCACTGCCCTCCGTTTCCATTAAATGTTTACAATCTGCCATGCTGTTGCTCCTGCATTGCTCTGTGTACAATGATGTAACAACAAAAGGTGCATTGTCAACTCAGGGTTGACTTTTATGGCACAGCCCAGTCTATAACAAATATTTTATGCTGAACTGCATATGCATTAAGCAAAATAAATATTTCCTTGTTCCTTTGTTGTTGTTTTTGATTTTTGGTAATGTTCTTGCCTGTGTGTGTGTGTGTGTGTGCGTGTGCGTGTGTTACTAGGTACAATACGTGGACTGTGGCCTGGTGGAGAACATCCCAGTGGTTCATGTGTACCCCTTACTGCTGTGTGACGATGTTCCTCAGCTCTGTATGCCCTGTCAGCTACATGGCATCAACCCTGTAAGAGTCTCTGTGTGTCCACGTACTAGCTAAAAATACTAGCAGCTAATAATATTTGATATTCTAAATTAAATCCATAATTATTTAAATGATCATAATCAACAACAATAATCAGCAAAAATTAAAGAAAAAATACTTTGAATTGAATTACAGGAAACATCTTAAAGGACAGTTCCAGTGGTTTTGTAGCCCAGTAAATTATAGCTGCTTACAACTTACTGCCGGTCAACTTTTTCCCAGTTCACTCTCACTGTCATTTTTAAATGAGTTTTTCTGAGCCATCAGGGGCCTGGTGGCTCAACATGGCTAATGTCCGCTCTAGTTTTCTGTAAAGTTACAACATTTTTAACTTGAATTGAAATCATGGATAGAGCTTCACCATTCAGCTGCCACATAGCAACATTGCGTTCATAAGCTATGACCATTTGTAGGCAGGACATCTGTCCTGCTGATCGATCCAACACGGAACTACACAGAGAGAATGTATCCCGCCGTGAAAATGAATCACGATAAAAGACTGTTTTACAAGCCATATCATTATTACTGTGCAGACGTGTGGTTTGGGAGGCAAAGCTTAGAATTTTAAGGTGGCTGTATCACCTTGAACATTTCATTAAGAAAATGTAAAAATTCTGGCAAATATTACAAAAGATAAAACATAGCAGCATTCTTCGGGAAATGACTGGCACTAACGGAAGGTCTGAGCAGAAAGAAGTTATTTGGCTTAAACATGTAAAACTGCTGGTATGGTACTTTAGTTGTTAAATGTGTCCTTCTGTGACCTGTAAGGGTTGCGTATTAAACCACACAGCTACAGAAGATTGTTAACTTCTTATTAAATGAGGCAGCTGATTAGTAAACTCTCTTCCTCTGTTTGTTATGTCTCTTCAGGTTGGTGGTAGGTGGCAGGGGGATGCAGTGGCCTTAATGAAGGAGATGTTGCTGAACCGTTGTGTGGACATACAAGTCATGGTATAATTACACACAAATATGTACAGGCATTGTTGTTTGAAACGTTTCTGTAAATCTGGGGATGATTGCTATAATCAGATAATCCATCATCATCTACGGCCCACAGCACTCAATAGTGGCGTGTGTGTGCGTGTGTGTGTGTGTGTGTGTGTGTGTGTGTGGGGTGTGTGGGGTAGGAGCTGCCCAACGACCCAAGGGGTCCCCTCACAGTTGAGCTCTTCCTGGATGGGTTGAGTCTCAGCAAGATCTTGTGTCATCATGACCACGCCTCCATGGACCGGACTGTCTCACCACAGAAGGTCTGAGGTCGCCTTTGTGTCGGTTTCTGTTTCCCATGTTTCAAATGAGGACGTGCTGCCATAATTTACTCAGGAATGTCTGTGTCTGCAGGGACACTCAGTGATGTCTCCTGCCCCAATTCTGGATGACTGGGACATCGACACTGAGGTAGAATGAAGAGATTGGAAATTTAATTTTGAAAACAGCCACCACTCAGTTTGACTTACTTACACTATATTTTCAACATCAGTCCCAAAGGAGTGATACAGACCATGCCATATAATGCTGTTTACCCAAATTACTTGATTCAGTTGTATGACCAAGGAATTAATGAAACAAAACTACAGAGTTAAACAAGAAGATTGCATTTGCAATATTAACACTGAGTCAAATAACTCCCTGTAATGTGAAAGGAGACACCACTCCTAGTGCTGCATCAACTGAGAACACCCAACTCAGCAGCCTTATGGGTGTTGGCACATTGTTTTGGTTCTCTGGTTAAACATAGACTATAAATGAGTGTCACTCTCCAAACACTAGAGATCTTTTAAACTGAAACAGATTGAGCATTGTGGACTGGGTTTAAGACTGATGCAGATGCTGTGTCTCCAGGGTCAGAGGGGCCCAGAGGAACCGATGCTTGGGCCCTTTATCTACCCAAACCTGCCACAGGAAGGGGAGCAGTTTCGAGTCAAGGTCAAGCACCTGTTGACCCCCAATGAGGTAGCTACCGACCAAACAGATAACATTATGTATTAAACAAATTCTGATGTACGTGCTGTAGTACTCATAAATTTACTGAGCATTAATGACAGGACTGTTTATTATTATTTAAAAGGAACGTGATCCTTGTTAGGTGAACTGAGTCAGTTTAGTAAAGGATGGATGTGTATTGTATTGGAGTTCTCTTTGAGCCTGCCAGGATCTTTTTAGACACTGAAATAAAGTGAAGAGACATCATTTACAGAAGATTTGTCAGAATTAAATCAATGGGATTAAATTGCACACTGCCCTACAACTGCAACTAACAAAATAAAAGAAGTTTAAACTGATAATAAATGCTTCTGCTGATAATAGATCAGTGTCTGTCTGTCTGTCCGTCCGTCCATTAGCTGTTCCTGTGGCCTCTGGAGGGAATAGCTGATGAAGAGGTGGATGGAGAGACTCTGGATGAGGCTCTGACCAGAATCAATGCAAACATCAACAGTCTGCCACGACTCACCAACTTTCCTCATGGTAACCTTTCACTGTGTTCACTGGCTGTGTTTCCAGGCTTTTAAAAATAAAATAATAATCATCACATTCATTAAAGTGACAGATTAAAATGTTCATTTCTAATGCCAGCTGGATCTCTGAATACCCCACTCTGATTGAAACATTGTCTAATACTTAATCCATTTGTGGACAGGAGTCAGTGCACTGGTGTGTGTTCCAGTGGTCTTGCACCTGTGGTCATTGTAACACTAGCTCATGTACTGACGTGCATGTGAAGTTTTTTTCTGCAGACTTCTCAGTCACATGTTGACAGATCTGTTGAGAAGAATAATCCTGAGGAAGGGGAACATTTTGTCCATTTGTACATGAATCGCTGAGCAGAGTTCAGTGAGTTGGACAGTCCTGACTTTATGCTTGTGGTTCCCAGGCGGTCCGTGTCTGGCCGAGTACAGTGACGGGAAGTACTACCGGGCCAGGCTGATAAAGATCACCAGCGTGGAGCCGGTCATGGTCCTGGTCCAACATGTAGACTTTGGCTCTGACGACACTCTCCCAACCAGCAAGTATGAACTTCACACACTACAGGAGAGTAGTTTTATTCAAATAACAGTGAACCAGAACTGTACAGTTGTGGGTCTGACAGCTAAACCATGATCTAAAACTGGCTGTAAGGCTCCATAAAGCTGAGGGCAGCAGCAGATATAGCGAATACCCTGTAGGTTGATCACTACAGGGTGACCCCTTTCACATTGTCCTCACATCATTTGATACATTGGTATTATTGAAATATAAATTAACTCGAGAAAACCATTTATCATCGCCTCAGAATAATGAAAATGTGTGATCGTATTTAGTAAATAAGAAAAACTTTAATTATATAGAAAACAGAAGTAAACACAGGTATGCAGTGGGTGGCCATTATTGGCTTCCACAAGTTAGTACAGATTCAAGGACTTATGTAAGTGATTATTAGAGAACTTCTGTTTGTATGTGAATGTGAAAGTGAATTGTTCTCAGCAGTTAGGTTTTGGTGCTCCAATTAATCTACTGAGAGTTTGAGAACTTGTTTCTTTAGATCTAACCACTGAAGCCCCTTGGATGTGTCTGATCTGGTGTTGTGGATACATTGATGTGTTGTTCTAATGTTCTGTCACTTCCTGTCAGGCTGCGCCAGATGCCGGCCGAGCTGCTGGGGTTTTCATTACGGGCGCTCAAGGTTAAAGTTGCGGGCTTCAAGGCTCCGAGCGTCAGCAAGCAGGGAGACGTGCTGCCCTACAGCCCCAAGTGGAGCGTGAAGGCTGCAATGCACATGATCGACCTGTTACACTGCAACATCTCAGCCACGGTTGTGGTAAGAAATGCACAGCCGGACTGTTTTTGTTTTTAAATGAGGAAAGAAAAATATTCATCATTGGAGCGGTAGTGTCACCAAAACACATTATGTGTATCTTTTGAGGTCTAAAAAACGTGATAAATGTCTTTACTTGTTGCTGTTTACATCCATGTTTACTAGCATGCAGTCGTCTTCTTCAAGAAGAAAAACATATCTTTGAGGAACACTTTAAATATTTGCTTTTGATTTTTTTCATTATTAGTTTTATGTGTACTATAAACTCCATTTACTCTCTTTAAACAGCACAATTATTATTGGTATTGTTTCTGGCATGGCCGGGAAACTATCGTTACTGCGGGAACATTTCAGAATAATTAATTTTCCAGATGCTTTACCAAAAAAAATGACTATTGCTATCAATGTGCAGTCGATCCAGTTAGTTACAGGCCATTAATGATAATTAAATCTCACAATTCCTGAAATTAGTTTGAACTGTTTAAATGCAGGTTGTGTGGTTAAAGAAAGTCTAAATTTTTCTATTTCTACAGCTACTGTACAATGGCACAAGTCAAGAAGGTTTCGAATGCAAAAAGTAGAAATTTAAACACGTCAAGTCCTCCATGCTCATGTCTCTATAACAGATTGACAGTTTGTCTAACTTTTGGTCTCAGATGTTTGTCAGAGCATGAGACGTGACTTCTTTTCAGTCAGTATCTTGCTGGCTTTATGCGCCCTTTGTGTTTGCCTCTGTGTGTTCAGGCCCGGGAACCAGAGCTCACAGTGCTGCTGTACGGCGAGGAGAGAGAGTTGATCCATCTTCCTCTGGTGAGCAGCGGACTGGCTGAGCTCGAATGAAGCAGTGGAGACGACCTCCTCAACCCGCAGGGTGAGTTTTCAGTTTTATTTCAAATACCAGAGAAACACAAATGTAGAATTTAAAAATGTGCCTCTCTGAACTTTAAACATCACATTACTGCACAATGCGTGCAATATATGAGCAAAGACTCAATACAGCTGCTGAGAAAGCATTTCAATAATTGTCAAAAGAAGCCATTTGTAGACATCTCCTTGGATTCTGGGTAATTGTGATGGACTTCTTTTACATTTTACACACTATAACACTTTATAAGTTAATGATAAATAAGTAAAGATTCATTTATAATGAAGTTTCCATAAAGCCCAATTGGATCAGATAGTTAACTGTTAAACCAGCTGAATCTTTAAGACATAAAACATCACATTGGCATTTTTGAGCAGCTATTAATAAATTCCCCATCTCGTCTTTCTTTAGGTTTACTCGCAGACGTCCTGTTTTCTTAACGTGTTGATTTCATTCTGTTGTGCTGTTTGACAGCTGTTCTTAGTTTGATGTGAACATTTGGAGTCTTAACTTTCACTGTAGAGCAGTGACTAACTTTAAGTTTGGCTGTTTTGTGTTTAAGGGAGCTGTGTTGACTGAGCACTTTGTTTTCTACTCATTTGACTCATGTGAGACAGACTGTCTGTATGAAGGTTCAGATTAAAGTCTTCCAATACTCTAACCTGCTGTTTGTACTGTTTGTAAATAAATACTTCAAGCTGTTTTCAATAAGATTCAGAGACCTGTCCTGCTGCAGTTTCACCTCCACAAACAAAAACTCATTCTGGAATTTAAAAAAAACTAAAAATTTATTTTACAAAAACATATACAGTCAGCTAAGAAAATAAATATATATCAACATTTTTACAAATTAAAATAGCTGTAAACACTTAAAACCAAACACACTTCACACACTGAAGCAGTTCTGTTGAATCTGCTGCTCTGGTAGTTTTGTTTCTCTACAGCATTTCATTATTCTAAGGCCTTTAACTGAAAATGTAAACAACAGAAGTTATTGTTAAAATATTCAGATTAACACTGAATGAAGTTTGGTGGTAGCAGTACAAACAATAGATAGCCTACTCACTCTTTAGTTAGTAGATCATCAGTCTACTGACTAAAGGAGGGATTTCATTGTAAAGTTTCAGATAACTTTTTAGACGAGAAACATTCTTTGAATTACTGAAACTTTAAAGATGCTCTGTGGAGTTTTCTTGCAAACATCCTCTTTGTAACTGTTTGATACCTGCATTGTTTACATCCATGTTAATGTGTCGGCACATTGCTACATCCCTTGCTGCATTACCACAACCTGTAGACCGGTGGAATAGTGTAACCTGTGTGTCCTTGTTCACAAGAACAAACAAAGCAGGAACCCCCATGTAACAAGATGCAACTGCTTTAGTCTGAAAGGTATCCTGCAGCATTTTGAACCACTAGTAGCACTATGAGATATGTTTTGTTTGTAAGGTTGCACACAAGTACATAGTATGACACACATTCCTGCTGCTTATTTCACACTATTACACGTAGCAATGTTTCCACAAAGGCAGTGAAGTTGAAGACTGCAATCACATAAACATGGAAGAAAATAATGCAGGGTTAAAAATATTCTAACATCTGCATTGCAAATGATTCCTGGGGAAGGGAATGCCTTGAGCACGTTAGTTAGACTTCAGGGATACATATGAAGTGTTTTGGCAAGAAACACTGAATGTAAAACAGTGTATTTAAGGAAACTCCACAGGGTACCTTTTATGAGGAGAGGGGCAACACACATTGCATGTTACAGACAGACAGACAGACAGAAGGAGTGAAGGTATAGCAGCTAAGAGTCACTTTAAACAGGCTGTTTCTCTTAAAGGACCTGCACACCAACAAAGGTGAGTTCACTTATTTGAAATGAATGGAGCCCTTATGCTGCAGACTGACCGGATTTTGCATCCCATTCATTTGTAAGTGGACTAGAGATGAATTTGTCTGTAGTTGCCTCTTTCGCTTCACACCAAATTCCACCCGACTGAACTTTGGCACAGTCACAAGGCTCGAGCTTGTTTCTACAGAGTGAGTGGGAATTTCCTGCCATTCAGTAAGTCTGTTTGTTTATATTCTTGTTGTCTAAGTGCACAGTGAAATAATAAAAGCAGCAGGGAAGGAGGGCTGCTGTTTGACTGTAGTGAAAATACTGTATAATTCACAACTGATACTGTTAACATGCTAGCTGCTGCAGTTTATGTTTATGCCCGTACCCGCCTGCTGCTTGCCACGGTAAATTCAAGGCAAAATCCGATCTGACTGCAGCTTCAAGAGTGAGCGGGAATGTACGCACTGTGTTCGATTGACATCCACCTTGCTCAGCTGTGAGCTGTGTTGCGCCTGCCAAGGTGGGGTAAATTACACCTTTTTCACAGCAGTCGTAGAAGGAAAATCTCAGGTATGTAACGCTTAATGGAACTGAGCCTCTGTTCAGGAAGTTTGTTTTAACTGGTGCTTTTTCCTGCTACAAGTCACAATGTCTGACATGAAAAAGGTCTATTAGTGCAGGATAAGTGAAATCACCTGTGCAGGTATGCTGTGCCTGTAAGAGTTCTATCAAGAAGGAGGATCAACTTTCTCACTTTATAACAAAAAATACATGGAATTAAAATGCTATTAAAAAGGCTTATGACTTCCTCACACTCATTTACTGTGGACTATCAGCTGCAGCTCTGCCTCTGATTTTGGCTGGACTAAATCCTAACCAGCTGACCTTTGACCTCCCCGTGGAGCAGAGAGGAGCAAGAAAGACAAGTGATTCTGGGTTTTCTCAAAAATTAGCCTTGGGAACCATGAAAGGTTTAGAGTTCTCATTAAGACGGCCTGTTGTCCACGATGACATTGCCATCTTTGTCTTTGATCCTGAGCCGTCCGGTGGGGTAGCAGGTTTCCTGCCTGCCGTCGGTGTAGACCGTCTTCACGGTACCGTCCGGATACTCCCTCCTCTTGTAGTCGGCCGTGTGGATCTCCTTCTGGCCTGTGTTGAAATGGATCTCCTTGGTGCCGTCCCTGAGAGAAGCAGCATGCATTAACACCCAGTTAGTTTGTATTTAAGGTGGAAGTAGGTGAGACTTTAAAATAGAAACAAACTCCTGTCATCAGTCAGAAACTACAGCTCAAGAACATTTCTCATAGTACTACTCTTCTCCAGTGGTAGAAGTACTCACTTACAAGTAAAGATCCTGCAGTAAGTACAAAAGTTAACAGTGATGTACCAGTGTGTACGCAGTGTGTTACTGTTGGAGCTGCTCCAGCTGGAGCTAGTTTTAACTAATTTAACTAGTTAGTTTAGTCCAGTGGTTCCCAACCTGGTTTTCACCAGAACAGACGCAGTGAGACGAGCCGGAGCTGTGGTCTTTACTTACGGGTTGACTTGTATGATGGTCCCGTCTGTCAGCACGCTCTCCTCCCTGCCGTTGGGGAACAGGTTCTTGACAGTCTGGTCCGGGAAAGTGATTTCCTTACGGCCATCTGGGAAGTGTTTTTCTGGAGTGGAGATGAAGAAATAAAACTGTAATGTAGAACGCGGTGTAATCATAAGCATGCTGGTTTCAGTCACTGATGTGCAGTTTGTGGTGATCGACGCACAGCCTGTGACAAAACTTTTTTTTAAGTTGAATCCTTTTAGGAATTAAGCCAGTATGCCTACCAAATGTTTTTCCACTCGTGTTCCAATATGATTAATAAAGCAAAATAAAACCACTGGACAACTAGGCAGTGTCAAAATCCAGTGGTAGAAAGTTCAGAGGTACTTTACTTGAGTCATTTATTATAGGCTGCGTTATATTTTTACTCCATCACATAGATTTCAGAGGGAAATATTGTACTTTTCACTCCACTGCCTTTATTTGACAGCTAAAATATAATCAAATAAATGATGCATTATTAGAGATTAAGCTCCACCACAGTATATAAAGTAGTTCCAATTAGCCCCGCCATCATTAATATTTGAAGACATCATAACGACAAACAATGTCAGCGATGACACAAAATCTCAACTAACTCTCACCAGTCTGGTTGTTGGGGAAGTGCAGGACCTCCATGCCATCTGGGTAGGTGATGTGTGTAGTCTGGGTCTCAGCGTAGTAGTAGATCTGAGCACAGGGAGCAGAGCCGGGATTAGAGCCTCACCAGTAGATGAATTCAGATGGGTAGCACAGCAAACGTGCTTCTTATGTTTAGCTTATTCCACAACAGACTGCTCAAGTTTTCAGCTGTGAGCTCTCAACATACACAAAATCTATTCTTTTCATATCACTCGTTGATATTACGGGATAAAAACATCAATATAAGACTATTTTCCCTCAGATATTAGAGAAGCTTTAAGTAAGTTGACTGCCACATTGAGTCAAGACTGTTTGCAACCTTCTTTTATTCTTTTATCACTTCACAAGAACAGATTTACACTTTGGTAAATCTTTGTAGTCTTTGTAGCAAAACTGATAGAAAAATGGTAACTAATGTTTTGTTCAGTGTAAGTATTTACACAAGGAGCATATTTGTGTTCAAATCTCAGCAAAGAAGGTAGAGGGTGTTCAAATTTAACCCCAAGGGCCCTATCTTGCCGATCTGAAACGCAAGTATCAAACGCAAAACGCAAGTATCTTTGTGGGCGGATTTCGGGCGCTGTTGCTATTATGCCGGCGGGATAAATGACTCTTGTGCCCAACGCAAATCTAAAATGGGTTGGTCTGAAGTAGCTACATTAGTCATAGGTGTGGTTTGGGCGTAACGTGCAATAAACCAATCAGAGCGTCATCTCACATTCCCTTTAAAAGCAGGCGCGCTTGTTCCATGGCGGATTGATATTATAACGGCGGATTGATATTATAACGGCGGATCTGCCAGGAGCGGTTCACAGCCGAGGAGACCGGCGTTCTCGTCAGGGCCGTAAAAGACCGAGAAGTGACATTATTGACATGAAATAAATGTAACACAGCCATACAATAAATCCAAACAATGTAACGCAGCTTGCAGGAAGAAGACCCTGGCCTCGGGAGCAGTGCGCAAGGGCCAGCTGAGGAGGGAGCGGCGCAAACACCAAGGAGCAGAGGATTCAGACCCGCTACACGCCGGAGGACCACCCGTTCCTGCAGCAAACCGGGTTTGACATGCTGGAGCGGGAGCTGTCCGGGATGCGGCAAAGTATTAATGCCCGTCCTGACCGGGTGGCGATGTTGCTGCTGCCTCTCAGGCGCATCCCCTCAAGTCTGCGCCATTAAAATAGCATCTGAATAAGCGCCACTGACTTTAGACTAGGTTTTTCCTGGTCTGTGGCGGAATTGATTTCTGAAACAGCAAAATAGCACCAGGGAACGTTTGCGCCGGAACACGCCTCCTCTTTTCACTGAACTGCCCCCCGGAGCGCAAGTTCATTCACTAATTTAAGGACGTGCGTCGGTGGAGGGAAACTTCCAATGTGCGTCGAGTGCAAAATAGGAACTATACAAGCGCCAGTGTACAAAGTCAGTTGCGCTGAGTGCAAGATGGAGCCCCAAATGTTTAGAGGTAGAGGAGGGTGAATCATCCATCATCCATTTTTTATGAGCTTGAGATATTCAGTGCGTGTGTGTGAGGACTGCCTCTGGTCCTCCTGTTTAAATCTCAACCAACAAATCTGACTGGGAAAAGTTAGTCAGACACTCCCTCCCCTCCTTCAATAGTTACTGCCCTTGAGCCCTTTAACAAAACCTTTATTGTAACAAAACTTGCTCAACAGTCTTGGCCTGGCTTACTGTAGCACTAAACAAACTCTTATTCTCTTGTTATTTATTTGGAAGGACTACACTTTTCATTTTTGCAGACTTCTATCTATTTTTCCTATGGAGGTTGAATTGAATACAGTTATTGAAACTTGCAGTCCCTACTCACCACTAGGGCTGCGTATCATATCATACTGTAAGCAAGGCGATGTATTCTAATTTCTTTCTTTAGATCTAGTTTTAGGAAAACTGTCGCAGTTTAAAGAATACACCACCATATGCAACCAGAACAGTGTTTGTATATATCACAGTCTAACATCATAGCCCTCAGTTTACATTTACAACACTGTTACAACTGTAGTAACAGTTGTGAGTTTAAACACAAAAATCTTTTGAGAATCGATACAAAATATTGATTTAGATATATACAATATACAGTATTATCACGTATCGCAATAAAAGCACATTCCATTATCGTGACAATTGTGATAATCGTCAATATCCTCACATGGCTTGACTTGAAAAAACTGTCTAGCTATCCAGCATACAGGGAGTAGAGCATCTGTGATGCAATAAATGTTTCTTAGTACATTTTCATGATTATCGTGATAATATCTTGGCAACATGAAATTTTCATATTGTCCCATGCCTAATCACGATACAGTGGGTTTTTTTGAATTTCCTTAACATCTGTACTCACCACTCTCTGGTCGGCTGTGATCTGTTTAGTGTCTCCGTTGAAAAAGGTGACTTTGACCATCAGTCCGTCTGCTGAAATCTCCTTCTTTGTCCCGTTGGGGAACGCAATAATGCGATCGCCACCGGCCAGAACCTTCTCTATCTGGAAGACAGACAGACAGACAGACAGACAGACAGACAGACACTTCAGTCCCCTGCTCATTCAGGAAATTATTCAGCCTTTTTTAAGCTATACATTTGTGAGCCATATTTAAAGATTTGCATCTTCAGTAGGAACACATGGGACTGGTGGACTTTCTCACCTTCCCATCTGGGTGTGTGATAACCTCCTGAGCTGATTCTTGCTCTTTGGCCTCACTGCTCTCTGGGTCTTTTGACAGAGAATCTCCTTTCTACAATGAGAAGATGTCAACAAACAGAACAAATGATTAAACACAGGCGTATTGACTGAGCCCTGACAGACAGCAGATGTCCAGGCTCTGACAGCCCACAACCATGAACAGGTTAAGGTTAACAGCTGAACTGGCCACACCACTGTCAAAAGTCTCTAAACAGGATCAGAGGCTGTGAATTAGCTTTATCTAGATGCCTAATACACATTATATTTGTTGCTTTTCTTCCACTATATGACACGTTTTAATTGTGTTGTCCCAGTTATATAACATTGGGACACTGGGATTGATGGACAGCCAGTGTAATAAACCAGTAATACATCCTTTACCAGAGAAGAGCACTAATGATGTCTCTTACCGGAGAGCAGATGTGTGTGCTGTGCTCTTGGTTTGGAGGTTTGTCCTTACTCTTGCTGGCGGGTGTTGACCTCTCCTCTGTCCTCCTGCCAGGCAATGAGGAGGAAGAGGAGGATGAGGAAGTGGAGCCTGGCCCAGATGGCCTCCTCAGGCTGCTCTTTATCCCTGCTGACAATCGACACAAAAAATCTTGACCATTCTCAGCTATTAAAACAGTACTTGAGTCTTCACACCTTTACATACTGAGTGTTGGTTACATTCATTGTGGAGACTAACATTAGGGATGCAGGATTACAACCAGTTCATTTTGCAGCCTGCAGGGCTCAGGGTTTTTATGAGTAGGCCTGTCAGTATTTCTCATTCTGTGGTTCGCCAACTCTGCAATGGCAAAAAAAACTTTAAGATCCACTGCACACTGACATGAAGGGACCCTTTACTAAAAGGCAGGAAACGTTCCACAACCATTATAAAACCAAGCATCGTTCTGACTGGGGTGTCAAAAAAAAAAAAAAAAACCTGCAATAACAGATTTTTATGGCCACTTTGGGGCAGTGGAAGCATGTTGTGAACACAGCACTGACATATCATCACCATTTAAGTTGAAATGGTGGCCTCATTAGCAAAGAGTTACCTATTTCATATCCATCAAATACAGAGTAACATTATCATTCATTTAGTCATGTTTGTGTCCAGTCCAATCACTCTCCTTTTACTTCTTTTCTGGTCTCAAACCAGCTCCTGAGGGAAATATCTGGCTCTATAGCTGCTAACTGCTCCACTTTAAAGTCTGCAAAAACCTGCAACCCCAAAGTCAGTGTGCTAGAAATCTCCCTGTGAATGGAAACTGTACCTGTAGCACCATGACTGCTCTCCCTGGAGCCCCTTCTCATGGCTGCAGCAGTCGTGCTCTGTGGAGGGCTGCTGCTGCCGTTTCCTCTGGAGTCGAGAGGACTCTGAAAACAGAAAGACAGAACTAGCTATGTCAATGTTATGCCAAACTTAGAAGAAATCTGAAGAGATAATTCGAGCTCCTCCTCCTAGGAAATTAAAATGGAAATGGGATTTGGTCAGTGAAAGGTTTGGGGACTGTCACCTGATGCCTATTTACAGGGTTGTTAACTGTCAGTGTCTGTGTGAAGATAACAAAAATCAGGATTATGGACCCATAATTCCTCCCACATTGTCCTAGTCACACTGATTTAAAGTTATTCATTAAAGTTCAGACTAGACAAACATGAACAGTATAAACATGCTTACAGCGAATTTCACTCCTTTGGTCACAGATGACACATTGTTTTCAAACATTTTGGGACAGTCTTTGGTTTCTTTGTCCATCTCTGCATTGACAGGGTTTTTCTTCCAGGCACTGAGGCGGAGCTTTTCCAACATACGAATCTGGAATTAAAAGAGAAAGTACATTTTAAAACATGGCTGCAACTAAACAATGATATACTATATATCCCAGTGTTCCGCATGCATTTGCAACCCTAACCCCATCAGTCTGTGCAGGGTGTATATGGGGTGAAAGGGTCAGAGGACAGGTGGGTACCTCGTCCCGGAGAGAACTGTTCTCCTGGCTGAGGGAGTCGATCTGTTGCCTCAGCCGGCTGTGTGTGGAGGCCCAGCGACTCTCCCTCCCTCTCAGCTCCTCCTGCAGGGAGCTCAGCTGCTGCTTCAACACCTGGCAAAAGGGACAAGGGAAGGGAAGTTAAAACATTTCAAACTAAATTGTGATTAAGAGCGGAAAAGTTCAGTTGCTTGTGATTGTGCAACACACTTTTCTGAATCTACATACTGTAGAGTTCATTCTCCCTGTGATGTGACTGGAGTGTAACATTGGAACTTGATTTTGTAACAAGTCAACTGATCATTGAATGGTTCTACATTGCGTGCATGTACACGTCACTTTAAATAATTCACTGATTGGATTTCTCCAGTCTCCATCTTAAACCTCTATCTTGAAAAGCTACACAGCAACATTAGTATTTATTTGAAGTCATGTTTGTACATGTAAAGTCGACCGAACAATCCTGGGACCGGAAACATTAACATTATAAATTATGAATTGCTGATGAGGGTTGTCTTTCTGTCACCTGGATTTCTTCTCGTTCCTTTTTGTCGGGCATGGCTCTGGCGGCTGACGCATGTTTCTCAAACAGTTTGCGCTCTTTCTGCAACTTCTTGTTCTCCTCCTTCTTGTACTCCTCAAACTTGGCAAGCTCCTCTGTTTTCATCTGCTCAAACTCCAAACGTTCTTTCCTACAAAAACGGCAACAACGCAGACGTAAATCACACCAGCAAGCAGAGAGAATCACATAACTCATAAAAAATGTTTCTACCCAAGAGGTGCAAGGGAACAGATCATCAATCACGGTCTCCTAAAATGTTAAAGTGCAACATTTTTTTGGGGTTTAATACAAATCTTTGTAAAATTCTACTGTGTAAGCAAACAATTATGAAACTGATCGAGTTTTAAAGTTGAGTATCTCTCTACTGAACTGTATATTTGTGCTGAGACGGACCTTTAAAAACACTGCCACAACAAGAACCTGCAGAACTTTATTCACACAATATCAACATGGTCAATAGAAGTGAAACAACATTTTTTATTTGTAAGGAATTGCCCCACCTTAAAAACAACAATAATAATAATAATAATAATAATAATAGGAAATAAAAAGACTAGCTCCGAGTGTAAACCTCTGTTTCGGAAGATAATTTAAAGGGTATCAAAACAACATTGAGTTCAGACAGATATATCACCTGAGAGTTTCCTGATTTTTCTCGTTCTCCTGTCTGAGTTTTGCAAGGGCAGCGTTCTCCTTCTTAAATCTCTCGATCTCAATCTCCAGCTCAACCAGTCTCTCCCTCAGCATTCTAGACTGGACCTGCTGGCCTGGGGACGAGGACGAGCACGAGGACACACACAGACACAGAAAACTGAAAATGATACCCACTACACCAATTAAATATCTGCCCAGTTGCATAAAGCCACTTAGGCCAAGGTTGCCTTTGAAATAAATGAGTTGCATAAAATCACTGTAAGGATTTCCTCAGAATGATGTAATGGAAAACACTTGGATTGGATCTGTAAGTGTCTCTAAGCTATCTACACCGAGCAGCCATAACATTATGAGCATTGACTGGTGAAGTGAATGACACTGATTATCTGGTTATCATGGCGCCTGTCAGTGGGGGGCAGCAAGGGAACATTTTTGTCAAAGTTAATGATGAAAAATGGGCAGACCAATGACAAAGACCATTAGAATAACTTAACATACTGGTGGACCAGTTAATTAATGGTTACCTAATGGTGAAGGTTTAAGAGGCTTTTTACAATAAACTAGCTAAAAGTCGTGGCATCACTAATGCTCCCTCTGCTGCTGATATAAAAAGACTAACTGCAGACAGGTACTGCTGGCAGAGAGGAGGTGGAGGAGTTTGGTCTCAGCCTCAGAGTCTACAAGAATTCAGTTAATTTTCAGATACTATTAGACTCAAATCGTTATGTAACACTAGCTTTTGTTTTTAGCTCATTAATAGCACCTTTAAAATAAAAAGTAGACTACGAGACATAATAAAGTAACAGTCAGCCTTTGTTCACTTGTGTAGTTTTTCATAAAAGGCGCTGATTATGAAAATAAGTTGCAACCATACTGTCATGCATCAGTGCCAATCAAATTTATGTGTGAACAGCGATAAAAAAGTGAGAATCAACATACTGATACAGAGAGTGTTTGTCTCACCTGTCTCCACCTCTGGCTTTTTGGAATCTGGAGCAACAGAAGCAGCAGGAGGGGGAGGGGGGAGAGGTGCATTCTGGGCCTTCGGCTTCAGCGAGGGGAACAACCTCGTCATGAGCTGGGAGGCGGGAGGAGGAGGAGAAGGAGGAGGATCTGGCTCCTGATTAGCTGAACCAATAACTGTGCCCTTATCCAGACCCACAACTTTACTCACTGCCACCTTCCTAAGCAGAGTTCGCTCTGGTGGCGAGACTTCATTGGCTGTTGCCTTGGAAACTGGACAAACTCCTCGACTGTCATCGGCTGTGTCAACTGCAGTGTCCTCCAGGTCATTCCATGTGTCATTGTCATCAAACACTACTCCACCCTGCTGTCTATCTTTGTCCTCTATCAGAGTGGACTCGTCAGCATTGCTGAGGACGCTGTCACTCTCCCCATCATCAGCTTGTGTCACATCTGAAGCTGAATCCCTGCAACTGTCTTCGTCCTGATACGACCGCTTGTCGTATGGCGGGTTAGAGTGTGCAGGAAAGCAAAGAGTGCTGGGAAACAAAGGTGGTGTGACCGCCACTTCCTGATCTTCAAATTCAGAGCCACCACAGGATAATGAAACATCAGAGTCCTCGTGCTTGTCCTCTTCCTCCTTATCCTCAATTCCCACTTTGTTCTTGAGTGCATCGTCTCTCATCTTCACCACAGAAGCTTCTGAGTTCATGGAACTGCTTTTACAAGCCAAACCACCAATACTACCAACACTACTGCACCTCTGAAGTGCACCTTTGGGAGGTGACTTAATGGGGGTAGAGGAGAGCCGTCGCTGGTGGAGCCCCTTGGCAACCTGCAGGTGCCGATGATGCTGGTCCATCTGAAGAACCTGCAAGAGCAGAACAGTGAGTGAAAAAAATCCACACAAGCTTATGCCTGAGAGGGATGACAGGAAATGAGGGGTAAGAGAGACAGGGAATGACACAACAAGGGTCCCAGCCTGACACAAACCGGGACTGTTGTTGCTCACGGTCAGCACCTTAACCTCTAGGCCACAAAGGCAATCCACTATGGTGATTTCAATAACAAATGTTTGGCCACTTGTGGTCAGAGGGAACAAGCTGCTAACACAACACTGACATGAGTAGTACAGTTCCATGCCAGCAAACTAAAACAAGGTAAGATATTCAGCTCCATAGACTACAAGAAACCGAGTACAAGTAGTCATATGTGAGCCATTGCCATTATAAAAATATTGATTATAACAGCTTACACTAGACAAGGTATCCAAGACAAGTGATGCAATCAGGCACAAAATAAATCAAATGAAGCATTAAGCTACATTTAGAACGGATACAAGTAGAGCAGGAATTCACAAATAGTCAGATTATATATATCTGACCTATCACACAGAAATCACGAGTGGGTTGAATAACACACCTTCATGACAAAGGACGAGTTGGATGAGAAAGACAACTCCTCGGCTGCTTGTTCCAGCAGCTCAAACTCCCCCAGCTCCATGCTTTCCAACTGTCGGTTACACTCCCAGTGCTGGAGCTTCTCCTGAAACGACAACTCAAACGAATTCTGTGGACCTTCGTCTCCTCCTCCTCCTCCTCCTCCTCTGTCTGACCCCTTTCTTCCTTCTCTTGATTCCACTCTTGAACCACAACTTTTTTCTCCAGCTGCATCATGTTCAGTCTTTTCTGGCCCTCTTAACATGCCCACCTGTTTTGTTACAGGGTTCGGCTGCATGTTGTGACCAGGGGTCCTCGCAGCCCGAGCTGATAGACCCACTTTCCTATTATTCGGCTCCTTTACTTGTCCCAGTTGATGTTGTCTGGTTTGTCTACCATCTGGGTTCGTTTGAACAGACACTGATCCTTTTGTGTTCTGTCTTTGATGACTACCCAAAACCTTCGTATGTGCTGCCTTACTAGCTTTGATGTCCTGAGGCGGCGAACTTGGACCTCTTGGATGGTTTTCCTTGTTAAGTGTGGCAGTTTTACGCTGGAAGGGAAGCTGCTGGACAACGTTTGTGCAACCTCTCAGGATAGCGACAGGCTCTGAGTTGCTGCGGGAGATTACTCTGGCCGGGAGTTGAGATTTGTCCTTCTTCGCCTCCATTTTTGGTAATGAGGCTTGGCGATTGTTGGTAAATCTTGAGAGACCCTCGCCTCGCTTCAGAAAGGCCCTCTTGGGAAGAGCTTCAGATCCGTCTCGGCTCTGTTAAGGTGAGGAGACACAATGTGAATATAATGTCAATTTGGACGTTTGTTGCATTAAAAAAAAACAACTTAGTATTGTATTGTATTGTAGTAAAGCCTAAGATAACAAAGCCTCCTTGAATGCTTAAATATGGAGAGGCTCTGCTTGCAACTACATTACCACATAACAATAACAGTCAGTCTGGACTAAGATTATAACCCAGTGTGCTATAAATTAAATGTAAGGTTCATAAGTAAATGACAGAAAAACAATTTACTTTTTATTGTTTGTAAGGAGACTTTATATTCTCTGACCTGCTGTTGCCGGGCAGACTTCAGCCTCTGCTCTTCCAGCCTCAGCTGCTCCTCCACCAACTCCTCAAATGTCTTCTTCTGACCCCCGATAGGTCTGGAAAGGGGCACACAGACACACAAGGTGAATGTATGCAGACAGAAATGTTTCTCAAGAAATACACTCACACAATGCATTAAACATAACTGCTGCATGACTTGCTAGGTTTATCTCCTCATAGAGAGTCTCATTTTATATATACACAATACTGAAATACAGTATTTACCTGTCATGGAAGACAGTATCTTCTTTTCTGCTGTTGTCTTCAGTCAAAGCCATACCACTACTTGGTATTAATGAGTCATCATGCTTGTTATAATGGCTGGTATCGATACTCTGTTCCTGATCATTTTCTCTGGAGTTCCACGTGCCTGTAGAGACACACACTGTTAGAATTTCACACTGAAGTTATTTATCTCCACAATCATGTCAAAAACTTAATGAAAGTAAGAGTAGACTTGAGATGGATGCTATACTTCAAATGCAAATACAAAAAATTTACAAATTCTGTTTTCACCTTGTGCTTAAAAAACATTTTTCCTCACCCTGTTCCTCATCCTTCTCATGATCTTGACCTCCCGGTAGCCGCTGCTGTTTCCCTACTGGTGACAGCTCTTGTTCCTGTCGGAAGCCATAGGGGGAGCCCTTTGGACCCCTTCTGCAGTTTATGGTGGGGCTGTACAGGGTCTCTGTGTGAGGATAGGTTCCCTGGAGTGAGTTCTCCCCCAATTCTGCTTCTGACTGCCCTGAACCCTCGGTGTGATCTGTAAGATACATTACAGTCACTTCACTGTGTGTGTAGAATATACGCATAAAGAAGCTACAACGTAGTGTAGGCAAGGCAAATACAAACACATCACTCTCCAACCTACATATTTTATATCTTAAGTGAAACAAAATATTATATGTCCAGTTATTTTCTCTTTTTCTACCTCCTGTGCAGTCCTGGGATCCATTTATCATTCCCAGCAGCTGCTGCTGCTCCTCCTGGAGTCGAAGCAGCTCCTCCAGCTGATGGGCTTTTAGCTGCTCCTGCATGTGCTGCTGCCATTTTCTCAACTGCACAAACACACATTGTTATATTTTAATTAGGATGTAGCTATCACTCCTATCTTGATACTTGTCAGTGTGTGCACTGCACGTACTGATAAGTTAACATATTCTGCTAACTGACTTGCATGCAAGCACTTCCGTCTCTGAGTCGTTGCTGAGCCTTAGGGGAAAAACACTAATAATAGCAAGGTTAGGAACAGAGTGTGTGTAATGGAAGTGGGGGGTATTAAGTTAACAGGAAGCAGTGATATAATGACATCCAGACGATTCACACTGTCAGGGCAGAAGCCCTAACATTAGTAATAAATGTGTTGTTACAGGTTGTTGCACTTAAGTGCATACTTAAAAATAGCCTCGTCACTAGAGATCAATAACTAAAGGACCTTCTCTAAGTCAACAGAATATATCACAATATCTATTTAGGTACAGAAAATCTGAGTTATGTTGTCAGTGGGAAGAGCTGTCTATTTTAGATCGCATGTTCAGGTATTACAGATATTATTCTGGAGGAAATCTGACTGAAACATCTCTGTTGTGTTAATTTTGACCACCAGCTTGTGCATCAGAACATTAAAAACTCATGATATCATTACAGTGACAGAAATGCAATAGTGTCCTTACCTGTTCTAGCTTCATCGCCAGAGGCAGATCCTGGGATTTGCTTGCCATCTCATCCAAACTATCCAACTCTCCATCTGAATTTCTTGGAGGCACAGAGGACAGACCGTTCATATGCCTGTCAGTCCCAGCCCTCTCTGCTGCAGGTGACCGGGCAAATCCATCCACAGCGAAGCAGCTGCTGTCTGCGGAGGCGGGCAGAGGTGCGAAGTCAGAGGAAAATGAGTCGTCTGGTTCCAGAGACGGAGATCCGACGATGGAGGTGTGGCGCAAGGAGCCAGCCAAGTCCGGGCAGGGATTGAGGATCACCCCGGCTCTGGCGCTACTTGGTATCCACCGTGCCAAGAAGTCGGATTGGGAGAACTGAAGCCCGGCTGGAGATGACATGATGACCGCGCTGTCTCAAGCAGGACTCGCTAATCCGGGATTTGAACAACAGATTATGGTGACAGGTTAAGGGTTAATAACACCGTGAATAAACACCGTCCAGCACGCTCTAGTCTAGATGATGCCCAGATCCAAGAAAAGTATATATAGTAACCGGGTTACGTTGAAATAACATTAGCGATCCTAACGTCATCTGGCTTCAGTAGGTTAAACGTTGCAACGTAGCATGTCCCGACGGCAGAGTGTCGGTTTTAAAAGAGCGTTTGTTTGGTTAGCAACAGCGAACTAAATCATAGTTTATAAAGACAGACCGGCTCAATCATTGACAGCGTGAATGAACATGGAGCTAACTATGGCTGTCTTACACTTTGACGGTGCTTTTAATACGTGTTGTTTTCGCTGCATTTAAAAGGCTTCCTTGGTGATACTTGCCTGTTGTAAGCAGGCTGCACTTTACTTAGATACAAAAAGTTTTTTTTACAAGTCTTACACTGTAGTGACGAGGCAGAAAAGGTTATCAGCATTGATAAAAGTGTCATAGCACATATGAGTTACCTGTAACATGGGAGGAAAGCGGTCTCACTGCAGTAAAAGAACAACAACAGACAGAAGTTTCGAAGGCTGCCGCCATATCAAAACAAAGCCCGCGAGAGTAAAAAAAACGGCGACAAATCTGTTGTTGCATTCTGGGTAATGTAGTTTAAAAAAACTGACGGTTCGGTTAATTTCTTTTGAATTAGTTTTTTGTTTCATATGCAAGACTATAATAAGTAAATATGTACACAGAACAAGTTTTAGAAAATTAAAGGTGACATTTGTGTTAAATATAATTTTGGGAAAAACTAGCTTTGAATTATATCCGGTTTAATGGTGCATCGCAAAAATATTTCAAAATAAAGGTCAAAGAGTGAATGAAATCTGGCGTGCCGTTGAATTTTCATTTTGTATACTGAAAGTTTTTATGTAGTCTACATCGCATTATTATTTGTATTGTCATATCCTTAATTTTATGGTAAACATAAATAATTTATATTAAATAATTTGGACGAGAACTTTTATACTAATAACTACGCACCGGATGTATTATCTGACAGCTGTGATTGGTCGATACGAAAATACTGACGTTCCACGTTCGAGCAACTGACACTGAGCTGAAAGTGTCCGAACAATGGAAAAGATTTTATGTAATGTCCACGGTAAGTCACAATAAGTTCACGTTAATACATTGTTTGTTGTAAAATAGATTAGATTTTGCATTGAGTTTACAGACGTCATATTTGTGATTTATCTGTAAAACATTGTTTATGTGCATGACATGGCAGTTTCTTTCATTGAGCCGTGTAACTCTTAACTTGACCAAACCTATTTCGACCTATGTGCCGCGCTTACTTGCAGTGAGCACTAAGTTTATGATTTGTCAAATAAGTCGTTCTTTGTGTCCCCTTACAGGCAGCGTGTGTATGTTAAAAACGGGCGTAAAAGATGGACCAAATAAAGGCAAAAGCTTCTACGTCTGCGTTGACAAGCAAGGCTGTGATTTCAGTCAAGTGGCCAGGTATTCCCATCACCGAGGGCACACATTTCTTCACTGATCCCCTGTGTGTGACACTGTGAGACACATTTAGAGAGGGTTGAATCCCAGCACCCTCCACAGCGGTGACATCATTGTGAAAGAGCTACCAGTTCCTCTATAACAAAACCTACACTGTAGTTTAACCCAGAAGTGTTCAAAAGTCTAGTATCTCAAAGTAAAGATGCATGAGACCACTTTAATATACCTAAACATCTGAAATATCTGATTGTCACTTTTCTGTGTTTTGCTCATAGAATAAAATGGATACAGTTGTATACATTTGGTTTATCTCTTAGGCATATCTATGCTGGGTGTGAGTCTATCCATTGCAAACATTTGAGGTTATAACAGGCGATTATTTAATGGCATTTTAGTTCAATTGTTTGGCAAATTTTGGATTTCTTCTTCCACTTTTGTGTTTAGGAGGTTTTTTTTTTTTAACAGATTTATGTTCCTATTTCAGCATCTCACCATCCCACTGCCTCCATCATGAAGATTCAATGGTGGAACTCCAAGCTCTCACCTTCATTCAAAAACAGCAGAGCCACAAGTGGGTTGTTTTTATAATGGGGGTGATTTACAGTAATACAACTTACAATAAAAGTAATGAAATGTCATTCCTGTTATTATAATTAAAAAAAGATACTGATCTCTATGTGATAGCGCACGTGGTTGGTTGGACTGGACCTCTGAGTTCTTTCTCCTTTTCCAGGTTGTTCTACCGATGTGTTGTGGGTAAAAAAGCAGGCCAGAGGTGGTGTGGAAACGTGCCTTGGACTGCAGTAAGACAGCACCATACACATATACTTTAAATACCTTTGCCACCAAGTTTCTCTGGGACTTTTAGCTGTAGCTGTAGCTGTAGACAACACTTCACATCTCTTCAACTCTGTCTCCAACCCTTACGATCCCAACATTTCCAAAGATAGATAGATGGATAGGTAGGTAGGTAGGTAGGTAGGTAGGTATACTTTATTGATCCCAAGCTGGGAAATTGCAAAGAGACCAATTATGTTAGTGTCACATGGTTAAGAAATTACTATAGCGATATAACTGGACATATAGGAAAAGTCCAGTCAGGAATCCTTGTTTCCTTGTTTTCTGATGTTTTATAGACCAATCTGTCAGTTAATGGAGGAAATGAACAGCATACTAATCGATTTTGAAGATACTTGTTTGATGCAGCTCTACAAAAGATATTGTAAAACAGTGAACATTTTTCTTTTAACTTTAAGTAGTTTCCTCATTTTTAGTCTCCATCTCCCAAAGATTGATTGTTTTTGATAACTTTCCTGAAAACAGCTACCCATTTTTAAAATGTCTGTTGTCTTTTGTTGTTGCAGCCAGAGAAAGAAAAGAGAAACCCTCTGTCTGACACACACCTACAGCCCTCCTGCCTGCCGCCTGTCCGAAACCCCTTTAAGGTTCCCGGCAAGGCAGATAAGGACTCTGAGTGGAGAAGGACGCAGTGTGGTGAAGGTGAGGAGAAAGGCGGTGAGGCAAGTGAAAGTTATCAGAAAGAAAATGTGGAGAGCGTAGGAGCAGGAGTGGAAGAAGAGGAGGAAGGGAAGCTCAGTTTGTCGGGTACTTACCGAGGTAAACAACTTCCAGTTGGGATGAAGGTAAAGAAGAGAGTTTCACATGAGGAGAGAAACAGTCCCAAAGCTAGCAGTGTGGAGAAAACATCAGATAAGGTTCAAGATGAGATTAAAGAGAACAACGGCGAGCCAGGAGAAGCAGGTAAAATGATTTCTACCTCCAGTGTCATGGCTGTTCATCCTGAGAAAATAAATCCAACAACACAGGATCCTCACAAGGACTCGCCCCAGAAATCAAACGATGGAGAGACCTGTCTGGTGGAACAAAGTAACTCCACTGTAAAACAGAGTGTCTCTAAATCTGCATCCGCTAGTAGCACTCAGGCTTCCAGAGACTCTGATAATACCAGGAACCTCGCATCTAACAAACCAACACAACCCACAGAGTCCGGTCAGACCAAAAACCCCCAAGACGATGATGACGATTTAGTGTTGGTGTCAGTGAAACCTGCTACTCAGAAAACTCCTCCTGCTACTGCTGTCCAAAAGACCCTGACCACCTTCCCCGGGTTCCAGCCAGCCTCTAAGGTCAAAGGTCAGCAAGGAGATCCCAAAGGACTGCGCAGCCTGCTCACTGCTCAACTCCAACAGAAAAAGGTGAGTAAGTGATTAACTGTGAAAAACACAAATGGCCACATGGACTAATACCAATATTGTTATAAAGCAATGTTTCTAAAATGTTTGACACCATTTACCACCTCCGAAAATATTAACACTAATGACAGTTTATGCACTTGATTCTTTGATTTTCATTATATTTTCTGTGTATCCTTTTTTTTAATGTGTCTGTCGTCTCACCCTCGTTTTCCCTCCTGTTAAGGCCACTTTGTCTGTGGTGAATGTGGCAGCTCTGCCAGATAAAGGTGAGAGGTTGAGGACTCAGGTCAAGGAGCTGGAGGACGCACTGGAGTCTCTTAGCCTCACTGCTGCATCTCAGCCAGGTAACTCACTAACGATATAGGAACAATATATGATTCTACTGCTGTTGTAGAAGTCATTATTAAAAATCTCAAGTTTCTCAGTCATTCCAATAGGACTTACAGTTAGCTTGACCGACATGTTGTAGGACAAAGAAGTATGGGCGTTGGTCTTTGTCATGTAATTCATTGCCTTCTTAAAGCTTATTTTAAAAAATTGTATTTTACATTTTCAACACTTTTCAACAGTGAAATAAGAATTTAGTGTACCTTACATAAGAAACAGCACAATACAGGGGAGATAAGAGATGATATGATAAGAGATGGGGAAACGAAAAGTTCTATCATACCCTAAGTATGGTGGCACAGTTGAATTTACATTAATGTCAGCATCTGCAACTGTAATGTTAAATCACTTTCAGAGTCCCAGGCTGGATGTAGCAGCGATGATGCCAGTCCTGGTAGTAGTCAGGCTAAAAACCCATTCAGTCGACAGGGCGGCACCATCCTGCTCCCCATCCTCCCAGCCCCGGGGCCCTCCCAACACCAGGCCTCCAGCAGCTCTCTGGGGCTCCAGCTGAGCCAGGGGTACACCCAGACATATGGAGGTAAGCCAAACAGGGATGTTGAAGACATTTCTCATCTTTGTTTTGTAGGAATTCTGTCAAATGTGACTATTCTTCCTCTCCAACATTTGCCATCATTTTATGTCTCATTGTCTTTTTTTTCTCTCTTTATTTTCATTTAGTTTTTCGGTCCTTACTGTTTTTCTTCGGATTTTCTTTCACTGCTTTCGCTTCTCACTCATGTAAACACCCTAACCTTCAGCCCTTCCTTTTTCTAGCGAACCAGCAGGCCCAGGCCTTTTATGGTGGCAGGATGACTGAGGACCGTCTGCTGGCAGTGAAAAACGCCACCTGCGAGGCCATAGACCATCTCCACAAATCTGTGGAGTCCTGCCCCGACCCTGAGGCTGAGGTTTCAGACCCCAAAGGCATCAAGGTTAGACACTTCTTCAGGTACTAGCCTGGTTCTTCATCAGTCCTTCGCTCAGAATATCTGACATCACTAATGACATTTTTGGCAGAACTAAAGGAAATTATGTAATTCTTATATGTTTTAAAATGAAGGGGAAAAGATCTCCAAGTATGTGGACACAGGCTTGTGTACACCCTGATCTGGGGCTGAGTTGTGTTTTCAACTTTGTGGTAACAGTTTGGTGAAGAACTGTTTCTGTTTCAACATGACAGTGCCCCTGTGCACAAAGCCAAGTCCATAAAAATAGTTTTCCCAGTTTGGTGTGGAAGAACTTGATTGGCCTGCACACAGCTCTGACTTCAACCCATCCAACACCTGGAATGCCAACTGTGAGCCAGACCCTATTACCCAACATCAGTGTTGAACCTCACTAATGCTCTTGTGTCTGAATGGGTGCAAATCTCTACAGCCAGGTTCCAGAATCTGATGGAAAGTCTGAAACAAGACTTATAACTTGTAAACGCTCTGTGTTTGGGAATGACATATTCATCAATCAGATTGCTGTAATCTTTGGGTGTCCACATGCTTTTGGCTAAGTGAATTTACTAGTTTTGGAAAGAAGTTCTTAAAATGTGTTGCTTAAAATTGGGTATGAGCCTCTCCTCTTTTGATTCATCCATTGTATTACTTGAATAACATTG